TGGCTCTGGGGCCACCCAGAAGTGAAGGCCAAGATCATCCACTGCCTGTGTTCTGCCCAGGGCCACCAAGCATGAACTACAAAGTGATCTACAGATGGCTGCTACTTGTGATAGGTTTGGAGATGCCCAAGAGAGGCCAAGCTGGAACCAAGGCCAGCTTCTGCTAATGCCGGCCAGGGCTTTTTAATTGATTTTAGAAATGGAGGGAAGGAGGGAGGGGGAGAGAGAGAGAGAGAAAAAGAAATTAATTTGTTGTTCCATTTATTTATGCATTCATTGATTGATTCTTACATGTGCCCTGAATGGGGATTGAACCTGCAACCTTGGCATATCGGAACAATGCTTTAACCAACTGAGCTACTCAGTCAAGGCATAGTTTAGTTGTATTTTACATGGTTGTGGGAGGATGTGAGTACTGCATTTATCTACACTGCCACCTTGATTGGAAACACAGTACTATTGCTTTTTCAACTAAATGTCTCTGACCTCTCCTTTCATTTTCCTCAGCCACTGGCCTAATCCAGGATCTCATCTCCCCATATCTAATACAGTGATACCTCGGTTCTCGAACATAATTCGTTCCAGGAGGACGGTCGAGAACCGAATTGTTCGAGAACCGAAGCAATGAAACCCAATAGGAAAGCGTGACTCCACAAAGCGTGACTCTCTCTCTGCACTCACACTGATGATGCAAGCAAGGCGCGCTGGGCCGAATGAACGCCATTCGGCTCAACTCGGCTCATCTCGGAAGTTCGAGTTCCAAATATTTGTTCGGATTCCGAGACAAAAGTTTCTCGAATCTCCTGGTCGAATACCGATTTGGTCGAAAACCGAGGCGTTCGAGAACCGAGGTATCACTGTACCTACAAAAAAGCTTCCTGCTCTGAGCCACCCCTCCCCACACATGCCAAATTATCTTTCCCACTGATAGACCTCAAATGCTTTGTCCATTGGCTCTTTTTGGCCATCTCAATAAACTAAATGTTGTAACAGCTCTTAAATTTTGCTTTTAAGTCAATTATATATATAATTTTTATTTTTTAAGTCTTGTGTGTGTGTGTGTGTGTGTGTGTGTTTAAATCCTCATCTGAGGCTATTTTTCCATTTATCTTCAGATAGAGTGGGAGGGAGGGAGGGAGAGAGAGAGAGAGAGAGAGAGAGAGAGAGAGAGAACACGTCGACTGGTTGCCTCTTGCATGATCCCAACCAGGGCTGGGAACCCAACCACAACCGAGGTATGTGCCTTTGGTCAGAATTGAACCCGAGACTCTTTGGTCTATGAGCCAATACTCTAACTGCTGAGCCAAACCAGCCAGGGCAAATCAATACATTTAAATGCTTGTTGTTGCACACTGATATTTCTTTTCTATCTTGACATCCTACTCTTTCCCTTGAGGAACCTCCCTATCTGAAACCTCTGAGGACCAAATTTTAGGAAAAAGCTTCCTTTTTTTTTTTTTTATAAAGATGCCTTTAGACTTTAACCTCTAAACCTTCTCAAGTTTGATGACTACATTTCAACTATTAATCACTAGCTCCACTTAACTGTCCTCCAAGGGGCTCAAACTCAGTGTCCAAAGCCAACTTCAACATTTATCCCCCTCATACTATTCTCACTCATGATTTTCTTCTTTTTTAAATATTATTTTTTCAATTACAATTTACATTAATATCATTTTGTATTCATTGTAGTGTACAGTGCAGTATTTAGACAGTCATTTATTTACGTTTTTTTATTCCTTAAAAAAAAAAATCCCAACCCTTTCATTCAATCAGTCATCCAGGCTCTTTTGTTTTGTTTTGTTTTGTTTGTTTTTTGGTTTTTTTTATCCTCACCTGAGGACATTTTTCCATTTTTTGTTCAGGTAGAGTGGGAGGGAGAGAGAGGAAGAGAGAGAGAGAGAAACATCGATGTGAAGGGACACATCGAGTGGCTGCCACCCGCACAACCGACCAGGGCCGGGGACAAACTGCAACTGAGGTACATGCCCTTAGCGGGAACCGAACCCGGGTCTCTCAGGACCGCAGGCCAACGCTCTAACCGCTGAGCCAAACCGGCCAGGGCTGTTTTGTTTTGTTTTTAATATTCACCCAAGGATATTTTTCCATTTATCTTCAGATAGAGGGGAAGGGAAGGAGGGAGGGAGAGAGAAAGAGACACATCGACTGGTTGCCTCCCACATAACCCTGACCAGAGCCAGGGATGAACTGCAACCAAGGTACATGCCCTTGGCCAGAATTGAACCCATGACTCTTTGGGCTGATGCTCTAACCACTGAGCAAAACTGGCTAGGGCCATCCAAGCTCTTTTAAAAAAAATATATATATATATTTAAATTACGATTTATATACACTATTATATTAGTTTCAGGTGTACAGTCCAGTGATTGGACATTTATATAGTGTACAAAGTGATCACTCCAATAAATCTGGTACCCATCTGACACCATACATAGTTACTAGAACATTACTGACTATATTTCCTATGCTGTACTTTACATCCCCATGACTATTCTGTAACTACCAATTTATACTACTTTTTTTTAAATCCTCACCCAGGGATATTTTTCCATATATCTTCAGATACAGTGGGAGGGAAGGAGAGAGAGGGAGAGAGATAAACATCGACGTGAGAGGAACACATCCACCTTTGCCTCCCATATGATCCCGACCAGGGCTGGGGACAAACCGCACTGAGGTATGTGCCCTTGAGCAGAATCAAACCCGCGACTCATTGGTCTGTGGGCTGGTGCTCTAAACTGGCCAGGGCCCAATTTGTACTTCTTACTACCTTGACCATTTTCACCCATCCCCCAATGCCCCTCCCATCTGTCAGCCATCAAAGTGTTCTCTGTATTTATGATTCTATTTCTGTTCTGCTTGTTTATTTTGTTTTTTAGAGGCCCCATATAAGTGAAATCATCTGGCATTTGTCTTTCTTTCACTCAAAACAATACCCTTTAGGTCCATCCATGTTGTTGTAGATGGCAAGATTTCATTCTTTCTTTTATGGCTGAGTCATATTCTATTATATGGAATAAGATTATATGATTATATGAGTATAAGATTATATGGATGAATTATAATTCATGGATGAATTTATTTATTCATTCATCTATTGATGAGCAATAGATGAATAAATATTGTAAATAATGTTAACAATGAATATATGGATGTATATGTCTTTTCAATTTCATGTTTGGGTTTCTTTGGGTAAATACGCAGAAGTGGAATTGCTGGGTCTTTCTTTGTCTCTTGTAATAACATTTGTTTTGTTTTTTTGTTTGTTTTAATTTTTTTTTTTTATTGATTCTTAGAGAAAAGGAAAAGGAGAGAAACATCAGTGTTAGACCAGAATATCGACCACCTGCCTCCTGCATAACCCCTGCCAGGAATCAAGCCTGAAACCCTTGGCATATGCCCTGACCGGGAATCAAACTGACAACATTTCAGTGCACGGAACAATGCCCAACCAACTGAGCCACACCGACCAGCGCTAACCTTTGTTTTATTTTTTTAATTATTATTACTTTTTTATCCTCACCCGAGGACATTTTTCCATTTTTTGTTCAGATAGAGTGAGACGGAGAGAGAGGAAGAGAGAGAAACATCGACGGGAAAGGGACACATCAAGTGGCTGCCACCCACACAACTAACCCTAACCCGAGCTGGGGACAAACTGCAACCGAGGTAGGTGATGTTAGCAGGAACTGAACCTGGGTCTCTCTGGACTGCAGGCTGACGCTCTAACCGCTGAGCCAAACCGGCCAGTGTGGTAACCTTTGTTTTAAAGTCTATTTTGTCTGGTATAAGTATTGCTACCCCAACTATTTTGTTGTTGTTTCCATTTCCATGAAATATTTTTTTCATTCCTTTATTTTCAGTTTGTGTGTGTCTTTTGATCAGAAGTGGGTCTCTTGTAGACAGCATATGTAAGGGTCATGTTTTGTTATCCATTTAGCCACCATATATCTTTTAATTGGAACATCTAATCCATTTGTATGTAAAGTAACTATTGACCTGGCTGGTTTGGCTCAGCGGTTAGAGCGCTGGCCTGCGGTCTGGAGAGACCTGGGTTCGGTTCCCACTTAGGGCATGTACCTCGGTTGCAGTTTGTCCCCAGCCCTGGTTGGGTCGTGTGGGTGGCAACCACTCGATGTGTCCCTTTCACATCGATGTTTCTCTCTCTCTCTCTCTCCCTCCTACTCTATCTGAACAAAAAATGGAAAAATGTCTTCGGGTGAGGATAAAAAAATAAATAAATAAATAAATAAAGTAACTATTGATAGATTTTTTTTTTTATGGTACGTGCTCCTAGTGGGAAACGAACCTGGGACTCTTTGCTCCACAGGCCGATGCTCAACCGCTGAGCCAACCACTTCTTTTTTAAGAAGAAGATAAATAGCCCTGGCCGGTTTGGCTCAGCAGTTATAGTGTCGGCCTGTGGTCCAGAGAGACCCAGGTTTGGTTCCCACTAAGGCCCGTACCTCGGTTATAGTTTGTCCCCAGCCCTGGTTGGGTCATGTGGGAGACAGCCACTCGATGTGTCCCTTTCATGTCAATGTTTCTCTCTCTCTCTCCTTTCCAGTCTATCTGAACAAAGAGTGGAAAAATGTCCTCAGGTGAGGATTAAGAAAGAAAAAAAAAAAAGAAGAATATAAATGAATGAATAAATAAATAAATAAATAAATAAAACATGAATAATAAAATGGCAATTAATATATCTCACTGTTGCTCAGTGGTTAGAACATCAGCCCATGGACCAAAAGGTCATAAGTTCGATTCCTAGTCAAGGGCACGTACCTGGGTTGCAGGTTCGATCCCCTGCCCCAGTTGATGTCGTGCAGAAGGATACCAAATGATGTGGTTCTCTCACGTTGATGTTTCTCTTTCTCTCTCCCTCCTTCCCTTCCACTCTATCTAAAAATCAATGGAAAAATATCCTCAGATGAGGATTAACCAACTGCCCCCCCACCCCCAAAAAAGTTATGCATTATGCAAGTTTTTCTTGACCTTTTGGCTAAGATCCAGTGTAAGTATCTGTTCTTATCAGTTTAACATCTAATACACCCTTTGTCTGAGGACAACATAGTAAATGGATTTTAGGAACAGAGAGATGGAATAGGAGCTTGCGCCATCCATGCTGCTCATAGAGGGTATTGCAGTGCCTCTGGAACAACGCGCCACTTCAGGGGCAATTTCTGAAAAAAAATTATGCAGATTTTGCACCCTCCTTCATCTATTTTTTGTCTTAACATTAAAAGAATGCTTTTAATTACTGGTCAGTGAGCCAAAATGATGCTTTGGGAACAATTTTTGTTTATCCAGTGCTTCATATAGGGTACCTGTGCTCTTGGTTGAGAAGGACTCTGTCGTCTCCACCTTGTCTCTCTGCCCTCAGTCTGTCTCTGGGCCATTTAACTTCACCATTGCCTAAAACGCATTCCAATAACTTCCAGTAGTGCTGAGCTGCTATTGGACTGCTTTCTTTGGATTCAAAACCCTCCAAAATGGTAATTTCAGGTACTAAGTTACTTTCTAACAAACTGAAATACTTTAATTAGTATGTTCTCAATATTGAGTCGAGTGTGGTTGTTGGCAAATGGTTTACTTCTATAGTCATCTAGAACAATTGTTCTTCTTCTTTTTTTTAAATCCTCACCCGAGGATATTTTTCCATTTATTTCCAGACAGAGTGGGAGGGGGAGAGAAAGAGAGAGAAACATAGTCGTGAGAGAGACCCATCAACTGATTGCCTCCCGCATGACCCTGACCAGGGCCAGGAATGAACTGAAACTGAGGTACGTGCCCTTGACCGAAATTAAACCCATGGCTCATTGGTTCATGGGCCAACACTCTAACTGCTGAGCCAAACTGGCCAGGGCTAGAACAATGGTTCTTAAACTATGTTCCTCAGACTAGAAGCATCAGCATCACCTGTAAATTTGTTAGAAATTCAGGTTTTCTATCCTGTTCTATACCAGATCTGGTGAATCAGAAACTCTGGGTTTGGGGCTAAGCAATCTGCCCTCTAGGTGATTCTTATGAAGCTGAGGTTTGATAGCCACAGGCCTAGCATGTAGTTTTCAGATATAAAACAGAGAAGATATAGCCCTGGCCATTTTGGCTCAATGGTTGGAGTGTTGGCCTGAGGACAGGAGTCCCAGGTTCGGTTCCTGCTAGGGGCACGTACCAAAAAAAATAAAACAAACAAAAACAGAGAAGATATAGCTTTTAAAAAATGACCTTCATGGATATAAACTATGATTTAAAAAAATTTTTTTCATGCCCTGGCTGGTATGGCTCAGTTGGCTGGAGCATCGTCTGGTATACCAAAAGGTGGCAGGTTTGGTTCCCGGTTAGGGCACATAGACAGGTTGTGGATTCGAGCCGTGGTCAGGGCGCATGTGGGAGGCAACCAATCAATGTTTCTCACATTGATGCTTCATTTCTTTCTCTTCCTTCCTCTCTCTAAAATCAATAATAAATAAATAAATAAATAAAAAGAAAAATATTTATTTTTAAAACAAAATGTTAATACTCACTAAAGACTCTTTTATTAGAATTCTGCTACTAAATATATTTTTCATGAGTCTCTTCTTAATTTAGGAAATGTGCTCTAAAGAAAGTAGATTAAACAATTTTTAATTCATTTGTCTCCTCCTAGTGGCAGGCTTTTAAATATTGAGCATAACACTCCATTTATATTTCTCAGAAATTATATTTCTGAATTTTTTCATAAGATTCCTCTTATTAACTACAATTAAAATCAATTGCTTCTCCCCACCAAATTAGATTTTTCTCTGTTATATCTAACTGTGGCTGCACAAAACCTGTAATTTGTCTTTTATATGATTCTTTTTTTTTTTAATCCTCACCTGAGGACATTTTTCCATATTTTGTTCAGATAGAGTGGGAGGGAGAGAGAGAGAGAAACATCAACGTGAAAGGGACACATCGAGCCACCCACACCACCCAACCAGGGCCAGGGACAAACTGCAACCGAGGTACATGCCCTTAGCGGGAACCGATCCCCGGTCTCTCTGGACTGCAAGCCGATGCTCTAACAGCTGAGCCAAAACAGCCAGGCCTCTTCTTTTTTTTTTTTAATTTATTGATTTGAGAGAGAGAGAGGGAGAGAGTAAGAGAGAAGAAGGGAGAGAGAGAGAGAGAAACTTCAATTTGTTGTTCCACTTATTTATGTACTCATCGGTTGCTTCTTGCATGTGCCCTGACTGGGATCAAACCCCCAATCTTGGCACTTTAGTATGAATCTATAACCAAAAGAGCTACCCGGCCAGAGCCATTACATGGCTTTAGGGTTTGTCCATTACTCCTCTTACTATTTCTTGAAATATCCCCCTTTCTTGAAATTTCTCAGGAACCACACAAGATCTAGGATAGCCACAGACACCAAACCCCTTTTCAATGAGCACTTTGAGCCCTGGTGCTCCCAGGCTATATTAACCTAGGGGTGAACAAATTCCTTTAACTTTTAAAACCAGCAAGACAGGTTTGATTTTTTTTTCCAAAAGAGTTTATTGATATGGCAAGATACTTTATGGAGATACTAATGCCCTACATTTCCCCCTTTATTCTTTTCAAGCAGAAAGCCAGGCGATTTGTATTCTTTGTCTGGGATATCTAAAGAATGGAAAGCTGAAGCTACTTGAAGATCATACCTTTCCCTGTCTATTGTTAGAGTCTGAACTCACTGAAGAAATTATGCTAGATGTTTGAGATGGAAAAGGAGCTGCTTTTATTTAAAACAGAAGGGGAAAAAATGGAGATTTCCTTAGGTTGGGAAAGAGTGTAAATTGGTGTGCCCTCATTCCCCTCGCAGCACGCTGGAGAGATGCCAGGACCTATGGTTTGCCTAGAAAGGCTAGATTCCAAGCATAGCAGGGATTCCCATGCTCTGCGGAAACAGAGTCCCTGCACTTTAAGAATCTCTATGACTTCAACCGTGGGAATCTCAGTAGTAACCAATATGGACTGAAGACTGGAGAGGTCTCTCCAAATACTGCATATGATCTGGGGGGAAATACAACAAAGAACAAAGCAAAAAGAAATGTAGAATATAGCTATTACAAGATTGAAGGGGTCTATTTGCTTGCGCACATCAAGGTCCAATAAGACACAAAAAGGAGTTTGCAGCCGAGAACGTAAGGATTTATTAAGGACATGGTGCCATGCCCAGAGTCTCAGGTAGCTCATGCTCAAAGACCTGCTCCCTGATGGCTTCCAGGGGATATATTATGTAGGAAAAAAATTATTAATCATGGTGACTAATAGAGTTAGGGTCATGGTCTTTACTGATTGGTTGGTGCTAGGGGTAGGGGGTAATTGATCATTGCATCTGGTCTTAATGTTAGCCATAGAGTTGTTTGGTCTAATTTCACAAGGATTTGTTCTGTGGGATCATTCTGCTTTCCTGGGTCCAGAGCTAAAACATAAATGAGTCCAATATATTATGTTTAATTTTATTAAAAACTCTATCTCAATAGTCAATAGACCCAGGACCTTGTTTCTAAGACCGATGGATGTTGGTCCTGAGGGCTTAATGATTAAGTAAGGGAGAGGAAGGCGGTAAGTCAGGGTGCTGGGTGAGGCCAGTTTGAGTCAAAGGAAACAAAATAAAATAAAAGGTCAGATTAAAAAAAAAATAAGGTTTCTGTCCTGGCTGGGTAGCTCAACTGGTTAGAGCATCGTCCTGATATGCCAAAGATATGGGTTCGATCCCCAGTCAGGACACACACAAGAATCAACCAATTAATGCATAAATAAGTGGAACAACAAATCAATGTCTCTCTCTTTCTCTCTCTCTCTCCCCCTCCCTTCCTCTCTCTCTGAAAATCAATAAATAAAAAATAAAAAACGAAAGAAAGAAAATAAGGTTTCTGCTTTCTGCAGTTACACAACAATGGCATTTGGACCTTATCATTTTTTTAGGATTGAGGGTAAAACTGTTAAGAATGAAGTCCAGCCTGGCTGGTGTGGCTCAGTGGATTGAGCGTTGTCCCATGGACTGAGAGGACTGAGAGGTCCTGGTTTGATTCCTGGTCAGGGCACACACCCCTGTTGTGGGACATGTGGGAAGTGGCAGATTGATGTTTCTCTCTCACGTCGATGTTTCTATCTCTCCCTTCCTCTCTCTCTAAAAAAAAAAAAATCAATAAAAATATTAAAAAAAAAAGAATGAAGTCTTAAGTCTGACTATATACCATGAATATTCCTCCCAGTCACCAAAAGGCTTCTTTTTCTCTCTCTTTCAAAGCCAATGTTGATGAGTTATTCTGCCAAATAAGTTCCTATTTTCTGTCTGGGAGTGGTTTCAACCTTTAAGCTAACTTTCAGAGGGCATGAGCTCTAGGCCATGGAGCCAATACTATGTCTTCTTTCCTTACAAGGGAATGGTTTTGTAGTCTGTGTGCTATGTTATAATATTAAAATTACTTTACAGATTTTGTTTACACGTTTTTGTAAATACCACATGAATGTTTGAAAAGATACATTAGAAACTGATAAAATGGTTGCCTATAAAAAAGGGGAACAGGACAGGTAGGGAAGGCTTACTTTTCACTCTATCCTTTTGTAAATCGTTAAAAATTAATAAAATAGTAATTACTTCATACACAGTAAACAATTATAATCTTAACTAGAAATATGAGGTGTGTTTATTTGCAAGGGACATCTTGAGTTGTTACCCTGACCTTTCAAAACACATATTTTCGTTCTTCAAGCCTTTGCATTTGCTGTTTCCTCAGCTCGAATTGCTCTTTTCCTCCCTTTGCCCCAATAAAATCTGAAAATTTATGTAACTTTTCAATTTATGAAGTACTTTTAGATACATGGTCTAATTTTCAAATAAAAATACATAGTAAGTATAACTATTTTTATCCTCAATAAATAAGAACACTGAAGTTGAGAATGTGCAGCAGCTTGTCCCAGATAACAATTAATACACTTCAGATCTAGAATTCAAATTCACAACTTCTAACAGGTTAAGGGCTCTTTTTACTTTTTTTTTAAGCTATGAACTCCTATTCATTTAATGGGACAATTGGGTAAAAATGTACAAAGATGTTTACTAAAGTGTTGTGTAATATCAATATTATACAATAAATACTATCTTGCTGTTACTAAAAATTATGATGTAGATATATATCTATATCATCTATCTATATCTATATCTATATTATCTATATCTATATCTTTTTTTGTTGTTAATCCTTACCCGAGGATATTTTTCCATTGATTTTTAGAGAGAGTGGAAAGGAGAGAGGGAGAGAGAGAAAGATAAATAAATATCGAGCCTTGGCCACTTTGGCTCAGCATTTGGAGGGTCGGCCTGAGGACCAATGAGTTGTGGGTTTAATTCCAGTCAAGGGCATGTGCCTCAGTTACAATTTGTCCCCGGCCCTGGTGGGGTTGTGTGGGAGGCAACCAGTGGATGTGTCCCTCTTGCATCAATGTTTCTCTCTCTCCCTCTCCTTCTCCCCCCCCATCTGATGATAAATAGAAAAGTACCCTTAGTTGAGGATTAAAAACAAAAACATCAAAGAAACATTGGTACGAGAGAGACACATCAAGTGTTTGCTTCCTGCACAGCCCCAACCCGGGCCAGGGATCAAACCTGCAATCCAGGCACAAGCTTGATCAGAATCAAACCCTTGATCTTACCGTCTGAGGGTTGACACTCTAACCAGGGCTAAATGGCCAGGGCTAGATCTATATTTATCATGGAAAACATGGAAGAACCTCAACAATCCTGTGTATTGTGAGAAAAGCAAACTGATGACATAAACAAATGAGCTGTTTGAACATATTCTTGTTGGAAAAAAAAAAGTGTAAATAGAAAGAACCTGAAAGATATACAATGAAAATGCTTTTTAAAAGTCATCATACTCTCACCCAGCTGGTGTGGCTCAGTGGGTTGAGCATAAACCCATGCACCAAGAGGTGGCTGGTTCGATTCCCAGTCAGGGCACATGCCCAGGTTGTGAGCCTGATCCCCAGTGGGGGCGTGCAGGAGGCGACCAATCGATGTTCTCATCGATGTTTCTCTCTCTCTCCTTTCTCTCTCTAAAATCAATAAAAAGCTATATGGCCCCGGCCTGGCGGCTCAGTGGGCTGGCGTGACTGGTCCGCCAAAAGGTTCCTGTTCCACTCTGGTCAAGGCACATACCCAGGTTGTGGATTCCACCCCTGGTCAGGGCTCTAGGGGAGGCAACCAATCAGTGTTGCTCTCTCACTGGGATGTTTGTCTCTCTCCCCAACTCCCTCTGCATCGCTAAAATCAATACTTAAAAAGCAAAAAGTGACACACCTGGGGTGTGACTACCCAGCATGACCCACCCAGTTAGGAATTTATGATCGGGTCATCCTGCTAAGTTACTTTCCCGTTTTTCCTCTACAATATTAATAATTTCTTCCCCAGAAAGTAGGCTCGGCTACCAAGGCCTCTCCGTTGCCCTGCAGGTGTGGCTTCCCGGCTGCACCTTCTCTGTGCCCTCGGCCTCTCCTCCCACCTGGGGCGGGCGCCCAGGATCGCTAGGTCACAAGACCTCCCAAGCCAGCCCGGACGGCTCCCGCCCGGCCCCGCCTCCGCATGCGCACGGGAGCAGCCATCTCGCCTCCCGCTAGGTCTCCGGGCCAGAGCGGCGCGGCCGGGCGGGGCGGCGCGGCCGCGCTCAAGATGGCGGCCGTGGTGGGCGTGGTGGGCCTCTAGTCCCGAGAGGCCGCGGGGAGCGGGGGCATCATGGCGGCTGCGGAGCAGCGGAGGTCCGGGGATGGGGACGAGGAGGTAGGGGCGGCAGTGGGGGCTGCGACGGAACCCGTGCCAGGGGCGCTGGCGGGGGGCCCGCGCCGGCTGTGTGAGGGAAGGGCTTCGGGATGCGGCCGCCCGCGGCTCGGCCTGGGGGTGCTGCTCGGCCTGGGGGTGCGGGCGGGGGGCGAGGGAGCTGGCCGCAGCTCTCACTGCCGCACTGTGCTCCGAGTGGGGAAGTGGAGGCAGTCGCCTTAGGGAACGTGTCTTGCTTCCTCTCCCTGAAAGCAGGACTTCGTTTTCACGGAGGTGGGGTCGTTGCAGGGGGTTTGGGGTGCTCCTGGACCTGCCCCTTCTTGCACACCACTCGCATGCTACCATTTTCACCCCTCTTCTTCCACCAGGAGCAGTTGGTGCTGGTGGAATTGTCAGGCATTATCGATTCAGACTTTCTGTCAAAATGTGAAAATAAATGCAAGCTTTTGGTGAGTCTTCTGGAATTGGGGGATGGCTGTACGTTTTTCTTAAATTTGGAACGAGAAGGAATGGTGAGCCCCCGGGCCCGGAGATTGCCCTGTTAACTCCGCGCTGGGAAGCAGCGAACTCCACCACCGAGACGGACAGGGGCCTGTGGGCGCGGGCCGGAGGAAGTGCACAGCTGCTCGCGCGTTGGGTGAACGGCTGGAGGGAGGGGGAGGGTTGGAGGAGGTGGCATTTTGGAATGGGATGATATGCTTTGAAAAAAGAGCCTTGTTTTAGATAGTGAGATGGGAGGGAGGATAATCCGATATGCACACACAGGTGAAATGTGGAGAAGGGAGAGAAGGTGCCAACGAAGAAAAGACTTCAGCGACCCTGTGGCTCAGGGGTTGAGCGGCAACCCATGCGCGGGGAGGTCCCAGGTTCGATTCCAGACAGATTGTGGGCCCGACCCCCAGTGGGGGGCATGTAGGAGGCAGCCAATCAGTGGTCTCTCTCATGGATGTTTCTCTCTCTCTCCCTCTTTCTCTAACATCTATAAAGAAAAAAAGACTTCAAAGACCTCATACTCCGCTCTTGAGCTATGGTATTCTTTTTCTTTTTTACCCTCACACAAGGATGTTTTTCTACTGATTTTCAGATAGAGTAGGATGGAGGGAGGGGGGGAGAGAGAGAGAGAGAAACAAACATCCATGTGAGAGAGACACCTCGATTGCTTGCCTCCAAATGACCCGACCAGGGTGGGGAACCTAACTGCCACCTAGGTATGTGCCCTTGACCGGAAATGAACCCGTCACTCATGGGTCCTCCGGCCAAAGCTCCAACCTCCAACCTCCGAGCCAAACCAGCCAGGGCAAGGACTGACTTATTTTATAATTGGAAGTTTATATCTTTTGACCACTTTCACCCATTTTACTCAACCCCTGGGCTTTTTCTGATAATGATTTTTTTATGATCCTATATTCTGATTTAGGGAATTGACACCGAGAGGCCCATTCTGCAAGTGGACAGCTCTGTATTTGCTGGAGAGTATGAAGGTAGGAGGATGTCAGATGAAACTCTTTTTTTTTTTTTTTTTATCCTCACCCGAGGATATTTTTCCATTTTTTGTACAGATAGAGTGGGAGGGAGAGAGAGGAAGGAAGAGAGAGAGAGAAACATCGACGTGAAGGGACACATCGAGTGGCTGCCACCCGCACGACCAACCAGGGCCGGGGACAAACTGCAACCCAAGTACGTGCCCTTAGCGGGAACCGAACCCGGGTCTCTCCGGACCGCAGGCCGACGCTCTAACCGCTGAGCCAAACTGGCCAGAGCGAAACTCTTTTTTTAATATTCTTTTCAGAGAAAGTAGCTCTGTTATTTCTTAGCAAGTTGTCTTTAAATTTTTCTGCAGACACTCTTGGGACTTGTGTTATATTTGAAGAACATGTTGAACATGGTAAGTGATTAATTACTGTGATAAATCTTTTTACTATGAAATATTTAAAACATATTTAAGGCCTGGCTGGTGTGGCTCAGTGGATTGAGCATAATCCCATGGACTGAGAGGTCCTGGTTCCATTCCTGGTCAGTGCACATGCCCGGATTTCAGGCTCGATCCCCAGTAGGGTATATGCAGGAGGCAGCCAATCGATGTTTCTCTCTCTCTCCCTATCTCTCTAAAAAAAAAAAATCAATAAAAAATATTTAAAATAAATAAAGAAAACATATTTATATACAGTGAATATTAAAATTAAACATTTCAAAAAATTTAATTAAACATTTCATGTATCCATTGTCTAGCTGTATCAAATTCTACCATTTTGCCAGATAGTCAAAAAGCATTCCAGCCCTGGCTGGTTTGGCTTAGTGGTTAGAGGTCAGCCCAAGGGCTCGTACCTGGGTTGCTGTTTCGATCCCCAGCCCCAGTCTGGGTTGTGTGGGAGGCAACCAATCCATGTGTGTCTCTCACATCTATGTTTCTCCCTCTCCCTCCCGCCTATTCTCTCTAAAAAATAATCAGTGGAAAAAATATCCTCGGGTGAGGATTAACCAAAAAAAAAAGCATTCCAGATATATTTGAAGCCCTTTGTATACCCCTTTCCAAACTTATTTTCTCTTCCTCTTTCTTCAGACAGTCATTTACCTGAAGTTGGTATTTTTCTTTCCTATACATGATTTTATATTACTTATGTATGTATTTATTTACTTATTTTTTATCCTCACCCGAGGGCATTTTTCCATTTTTTGTTCTGATACAGTGGGAGGGAGAGAGAGGAAGAGAGAGAGAGAGAGAGAGAGAGAGAGAGAGACCTCGATGTGAAAGGGACACATCGAATGGCTGCCTCCCACACGACCCAACCAGGGCTGGGGACGGACTGCAACCAAGGTACGTGCCCCTAGCGGGAACTGAACCCAGGTCTCTCTGGACCGCAGGCCGATGCTCTAACCGCTGAGCCAAACCGGCCAGGGCTACTTATGTATTTATGCACAAAAAATAAATAGCATTTTTGTATATTTTCAAATATATAAATCATAGCATATTATACATATCATTCTGTAATCTTTTTTCAATTAGAGATGTGCTTTGAGATTTATACATGCTCATATATATATAACTAAGTTTTCCCTGTTTCTTAATATTCCTTTTGTGACTGTACCACAATTTATTCTCCAGTTAATGGATATGTTGGTTGCTTCCATTTTCACCAGTAATTTTTAATTTCTACGAAAACTTACTTAATTTTAATTAATTAATTTTAAAAATTAATTAATTTATTTTTGTTACAGATGTTTCTCCCCTCCCCCACTGATCCTCCCTCCCCACTCTGTCCCCACCTTTGATGTCCATGTCCATTGTTCATACATACATGCATATAAGTTCTGTGGTTTATCTCTCCCCCCCACCCCCTCTTCAGGGGATTGTCAGTCTGTACCCCACTTCCACGTCTCTGAAACTACCCCATTCCTCAGACTGTTATGTTCATTATACTCCACAAATAAGTGAGATCATGTGATATTTGTCTTTCTCTGCTTGGCTTGTTTCGCTTAGGATAGTACTTTCCAGGTCCCTCCATGTCATCTCAAAGTATAAGAGATCTTTCTTTCTTACAGCTGCATAGTACTCCATTGTGTATATGTACCACAGCTTTTTATCCATTCGTCTACTGACGGACATTTGGACTATTTCCAGATCTTAGCTATTGTAAATGGTGCTGCTACGAACATAGGGGTACATATATTCTTTCTGATTGGTGTTTCAGGCTTCTTAGGGTATATTCCTAGAAGTGGGATCACTGGGTCAAATGGAAGTTCAATTTTTAAATTTTTGACGTAACACGATATTGTTTTCCATAGTGTCTGCACCAGTCTGCATTCCCACCAGCTGTGTACTAGAGTCCCCTTTTCTCCAAACCTTCGCCAACACTTGTTGTTTGATGATTTGTTGATGGCGGCCATTCTAGCAGGTGTGAGGTGATATCTACAAACTTATTTAATGCCTTCTGTATGTCAGATGCTATTCTTTTTTTTTTTTAATCCTCACCCAAGGATATTTTTTTATTTATCTTCAGTTAGCGTAGGAGGGAGGGAGAGGGAGTAAAAAGGGAGAGAGAGAGCCCTGGCCGGTTTGGTTCAGCGGTCAGAGCGTTGGCCTGCGGTCTGGAGAGACCCGGGTTCGGTTCCCGCTAAGGGCACGTATCTCGGTTGCAGTTTGTCCCCGGCCCTGGTTGGTCGTGCGGGTGGCAGCCACTCGATGTGTCCCTTTCACATCGATGTTTCTCTCTCTCTCTCTCTCTCTCTTCCTCTCTCTCCCTCCCACTCTGTCTGTACAAAAAATGGAAAAATGTCCTCGGGTGAGGATAAAAAAAAAAAAAAAAGGGAGAGAGAGAGAAATATTGAGGTGACAGGGACACATTTACTGGTTCCCTTCTGCATGACCCTGACCAGGGCCGGGAACAAACTGCAACCGAGGTATGCGTGCCCCTGACTGGAATCGAATCCAAGACTCACTGTTTCTTGGGCTGATGCTCAACCACTGAGCCAAACTGCCCAGGGCTCAGATATTATTCTTTTTCTTTTTTTATCCTTACCTGAGGACATTTTTCCATTTATCTTCACATAGAGCGGGAGGGAGAGAGGGAGGAAGAGAGAAACATTAATGTGAGGGACACACATTGACTGGTTGCCACCCACATGACCCCAACTGGGCCTGGGGACAAACTGCAACTGAGGTTTGTGCCCTTAGCGGGAACCAAACCCAAGACTCTGGTCTGTGGGCCAACTTCCTAACCACTGAGCCAAACCAGCCAGGGCGTCAGATGCTATTCTTAATGCTACATGTGTTAACTCATTTAATCCTCACAAGTTTATGAGGTAGACCCCACTGTTATCCTCATTTTATATTGGAAAAAAACCTAAAGCACAGAGAGGTAAATAGCATTCCCATTCCTAAGGTCATATACAAAGTAAGAGGCAGAGTCAGGATATGAACCCAGATGGTCTGCTCCAGAACCTATGTTCTTTATTTTAATGTTTTTATTGATTTTTTATTTTATTTTTTTTCATCCTCACCCGAGGACACTTTTTTTTTTTTTTTTTTGATATTTTGTTCAGATAGAGTAGGAGGGAGAGAGAGAGAGAGAAACATTGACGTGAAAGGGACACATCAAGTAGCCGCCACCCGCACAGCCCAACCAGGGCCGGGGACAAATTGCAACCGAGGTACGTGCCCTTAGCGGGAACTGAACCCTGGTCTCTCGGGACCGCAGGCCAATGCTCTAACCGCTGAGCCAAACCTGCCAGGGCTTTATTGATTTTTTAAAGAGAGAGGATGGGAGAGAGAACATTGATGTGAGAGAGAAACATTGATTGGCTATGGATTAAGCCTTCAACCTTGGTATTAAGCCCACAACCTGAGCATGTACCCTCGACCAGGAATTGAACTGGAGACCTTTGGTGCATGGGATGACACTCAACAAACTGAGCCACACCAGCCCGCCAGGGCAAGAGCCCATGTTCTTTTCTGTTGTTGTTGTTAATCCTCAGTTGAGGATATTTTTCCATTGATTTTTTAGAGGGAGTGGAAGGGGGGGGGGGGAGAGAAAGAGAAAGAAAGAAAGAGAAACAGTGATGTGAGAGAGACACATTGATTGGTTGCCTCCTGAAATGACCCCAACCCAGGCATGTGCTCTTGACTGAGAATTGAACCTACAACCCTTCGGCACATGGGCCAACACAGAGCCCATATTCTTTTTCTTTTTAAAAATTGTTTGTGTTGATTTTAGAGAGAGCAAAGGAGAGGGAGAGAGAGATAGAAACATCGATGAAAGAGAACATCAACTGGCCGCCTTCTGCATGCCCCCCGCTGGGGACTGCGCCCACAACCTGGGCATATGCCCTGACCGGAAATCAAATGGTGACCTCTTGGTGCATGGATCCACGCTCAACCACTGAGCCACACCAGCCGGTGGTCCTTCATTTTCTGTGGTAGAATTTTAAACCTCAGTATCCTGTAAAGCCAGATTTCTGGCTCCACTTTCCTACTTATGGGCTAGAGCCTAGAAGGCCCATAGCTTTAATCTCACTTATAGGTCTGTGTGGGTGTCCCCTGGAGCTGTTTGTTGTTTTGAATCCAGTTGTGCCCTCAGTTGTTATGTAAGTATTTTATCTGTCATTTATCTGTGCTTGGAGCAGAAGGGATGAGTTAAGTCTTGAATTTACTCCACTGTCTAGACAGGAAGTTATTTAGTCTAACTCTCTAAAGTGGAATTATTGAGGCTTACCATGATTATTTTATTTGCTTTGCATTTTATCATACTGCATTAAGCAGTATAATAATTGAGGTCATTTTATGTTCTAGTGGATGCAGAAGGCAACAATAAAACAATGCTAAAATATAAATGCCATACAATGAAGAAGCTCAGCATGACAAGAACTCTTCTGACAGAAAAGAAGGAAGGAGAAGAAAGCATAGGTTAGTACACCTAGTTCTCTGAAAATAGGTGATTTAATATTGGTTTTGAGAGTGACACATTGCTACCAGGACATTTTTTGTACTTTGTAGTAATAACTATATGTAATATGTTAAATATATTATTGAGGCTACTCTATGAAAATTACCAAATACAGATTTAAAATTCAGTTGAACTCTAATGGAGCAGAGGGCACTGGGGACATATAAGAAGTCTGTTTTGCATTGGAAATAGTTGTGAAGAGTTTGTGGGAGAAACTTGACATGATTTTCAACCCCTAGGGAAATCAGCAGTCTTCTTTTTATTTTTAATTTTTTTAATTTTTGAATTTTTTTAAAGGCTCTCTTTTTTTTTTTTTTTATCCTCACCTGAGGACATTTTTCCATTTTTTGTACAGATAGAGTGGGAGGGAGAGAGAGAAAGAGATAGAGAGAGAGAAACATCGACGTGAAAGGGACACATCGAGTGGCCGCCACCGCACGACCAACCAGGGTCGGGGACAAACTGCAACCGAGGCACGCGCCCCTAGCGGGAACCGAACCCGGGTCTCTCAGGACCGCAGGTCGACGCTCCAACCACTGAGCCAAACCGGCCAGGGCTAAAGGCTCTCTTTTTTTATTTATTTATTTATTTTTTGGTATGTGCCCCTAGCGGGAACCGAACCTGAGACCTTCTGGTCCACAGGCCAACGCTCCAACCGCTGAGCCAAACCGGCCAGGGCAGCAGTCTTTTTTTTTTTTTTCTTTTTTTTAAAAATTTTTTTTTTTTATCCTCACCCGAGGACATTTTTCCATTTTTTGTACAGATAGAGTGGGAGGGAGAGAGAGGAAGGGAGAGAGAGGGAAACATCGACGTGAAAGGGACACATCGAGTGGCCGCCACCCGCACGACCAACCAGGGCCGGGGACAAACTGCAACCGAAGTACGTGCCCTTAGCGGGAACCGAACCCGGGCCTCTCTGGACCGCAGGCCGACGCTCCAACCGCTGAGCCAAACCGGCCAAGGCGCAGCAGTCTTCTTTTTAAAATAAAATAAAATAAAATAGTCCTGGCCAGTTTGGCTCAGCGGTTAGAGCGTCGGCCTGCGGTCCGGAGAGGCCCGGGTTCGGTTCCCGCTAAGGGCACGTACTTCGGTTGCAGTTTGTCCCCGGCCCTGGTTGGTCGTGCGGGTGGCGGCCACTCGATGTGTCCCTTTCACGTCGATGTTTCCCTCTCTCCCTCCCACTCTGTCTGTACAAAAAAATGGAAAAATGTCCTCGGGTGAGGATTAAAAAAATAAATAAATAAAATAAAATAAAATAAAAGTCTTTAGAAGTGGAGAAGATATGATAGCAGTTCTGGATTCTTAACATGTAACTTCAGAGGATCTCCTGGGAACTTTTGGTAGCTGCAGTAGTCTTTTCCAAGAAACTTATAGCTGGAAGAAGCTGGCTTTATATGTGAGGGAGGCACTCGAGGACCACAGTTGTTATTCCTGAGTCTAGTTCTTTTTTTCTTTTTTTAAATTTTTTTTTTGTATTGAATTTAGAGAGAGAGGAAGGGAGGGGGAGAGAAAGATGAAAACATCGATGAGAGAGAACATCAATTGGCTGCCTCCTGCATGCCCCCCACTGGGGATTTGGCCAACAACCTGGGTATGATGCCCTGACTAGGAATCGAACCAATGACATCTTGGTGCATGGGTCAGTGCTTAACCACTGAGCCACACTGGTCGGGCCTGAGTGTAGTTCTTAGTTAGCATTCATTTAGTCTTCTCTAGTTGCTGACTGTCCCAGACTAGACTTTAGACCGGTGCTTTTGCACTTATAGCAGGCACATTTTTAAAGATGAACATATAATCACCTGATGGCTTGAAAGGTCGTTGCTCTAAGACATATTTGAAACTCTTTTAAATATGACTCTAGTGATGAATATCTGTGGCTTGATACATTTATAGTATTTTAAGAAGTAAATATTTGAAGGTACGTTAGTCATGTAGAAATTGATTATACCAACTAACAACTACAGAGCAAATCTTTGTTCTTATCATGTATATCCCCACACTCTCCCCTTTTTTAGGCACTCTGAAAATAACAGGAAGAAGGGGGTACTTAAAGTTCTAGAATGAACTTTTTTACTTGAAAAGGAGATATATATCAAAGAAGCTTAGCTAGCATTTAGATACTCTTATTAAAGAAAATTGTAGAATTTCATCTCCTGTAGTCTATAATAACCTGATATACCTTTGAGAAGATTTAGGTGTTTTGTTTAATCAAATAAATTAGTAACCAGTTATTCAAAGCTGTTATTTATTGCTGCATAAGAAATTACCCAGAACTTAATGGCTTAACACAACAACAACAAAAACTCCACTATTTTATAGTCTCTGTGAATCCAGAATTTGGGAGTTGCTTCGCTAGGTGGTTCTGGCTTGTGGCTTCTCATGAGGTTGCAGCCAATATATTGGCTGGGCTATAGTCATCTAAAGGCTTGAATAAGGCTGGAAGATCTAATTATAAGATAGATCTAATTATGAGATAGCTCACTCTCATGGCTGACAAGTTTGTGTGGACAGTTAGCATGAGGCCTCAGTTTCTTGCCTCCTATAGTACTGTTTTAGTGCCCTCCTGACATGGCAACTGGCTTCTCCCAGATCAAATGATCCATGAGAACAAGGTAGAAACCATGATGTCTTTTACGAACTAGCCTTAGAAGTCATTCTGTCATTTCTGCAGTATCCTGTTCAGTGTGGGAGGGGACTACACAGAGGCTTGAATACCAGGAAGGTGAGGATCACTGGGGATCACCTAGAGGCTGATGACCAAACATGGCAATATGCTGGAGGCAGAACAGAATAGATAGGAGATGTGGCCCTTACCTTTGAGGAACTTGCACTCTAAAAGTAAATCACACTGAAACACATGGCTGAATGTGACAACACTCATTTCATTCAACTTATTTTAAGTGTCTATTATGTGACAAGTATTGTGCTAAGTAAGAGTAAAGAGTGGCTTCAATGCTTACCTGGCAGGGGAAATACCATGATCAGGAAGATGGTTTTCCCAGTGCAAGTTTTATCCATTGAACTCCAGATGTGCTGAGCCTTGTGATCTCTCCAAATGTGGGAAACTCAACCATATAATTTGTGGTAGTAGGGGACTGTATTCTTACTGTCTCCTGGAGAAAAAAATAATAATGGCTTCAAGGTTTTAAACCTGGATGAGTGACAGGACAGTGCTCTTTGAGGAAAAAATATAAAAGTCAGTAGTTAAAGCTGAACTGGAGAGAAAAGGACTAATTAATTTTTTTAAAATATGTTTTTACTGATTTTTTTGGAGAGAGAGGAAGGAAGAGAGAGAACATCGATATGAGAGAGATACATTGATCGGCTGCCTCCTGCACACCCCCTACTAGGGATCGAGGCTGAAACCCTGGCATTTGCCCTCACCAGGAATTGAACTGGGACCTCTCAGTTCATAGCATGATGCTCAGTCCACTGAGCCACACCGGCTAGGCAGGACTAACCAATTTTCGATAGATACTTTATAGGAATAACATATAAGAAGACATGGGGTCAGCAGTTAGGAAGTTTCAATAAGCTGCTGAAGAATTAGTTTATGGTGAGAAATAGGACAGATGGAAGTATATGGGCAAGATAGGTTGGGGTATCTTAATATTTAATAGAGTTTTGAGGATGAGACTAAACAGCTTGGACTTACTTTAGAAATTAATGAGGCCCCAATAAAGTCAGTAAAAAGGAAAAAAAGAATTTAGCAGATAACTGCAAAAACAAAACAAAAACCACAACCTAGATTTTGTTGCAACACTGGGGGGAAAGTTCTTAACTTAATAAGCCTAAACTTTTAAAAAATAACCTTGAACACTGTTACAAACATCAAAGATTTTAAGCATTAAATATTAGCCATGAAACTAAAAAACAAAACAAAACAAAAAAACCCCACAAACAAATGAATGAGGATCCATTGAAAATATTTGCCGAAATGGTATTAAGAGTAAAAGAGCCCTGGCTGGTTTGCTCAATGGTTAGAACATTGTTGTGCATGCCCTGCTGGTGTGGCTCAGCGGTTGAGCATCGACCCATACACCAAGAGGTCGCTGGTTCAATTCCCAGTCAGGGCACATGCCCAGGTTGTGGGCCCGATCCCCGGTGGGGGGCATGCAGGAGGCGGCCAGTTGAGAGAGATGTTTCTCTCTCTTCCTCTTTCTCTAAAATCAATAAAGAAAATATTAAAAAACAACAACAACAACATCGGAATGTACACCGAAGGGTTTGATTCCCCATCACAAGGGCATGGACCTTGGTTGCAGGTTCAATCCCAGGCCCCTGTCAGGGTTGTTCAGGAGAGAGCCAGTCGATGTGTCTCTCACATCGATGTATCTCTCTCTGTCTCTCCCTTCCTCCCTTCCACTCTATCTAAAAATCAATTTTAAAAAATAGCCTCTGATGAGGATTAACAACAAAAAAGTAAGAGAGAAATTACTAGCGTTATTGGAGCAATTGTTATTTATAGGGGTTTATTGAGGGGTTAGGGCTTTGACTATGAGTATGGAAAGAAACACACATTTAAAAAACTTTTTTTTTTGAGAGGTGTTTTGTGTCACAATTGGATGTCCCAATTCAGAATGACATACGAGTGCTTATTTGAGATGATAGGGTAGAATCCTCCATGATATTATGACAATTAAGTGGATAAGGAGACAATGGTAGAGAAGTGACATTCTTCTTTAAGGCGTGAGGTGGCAGTGGGAGCTCAAATTATCTCCCAGAATGAGTTGGGAATTGAACTGTGGAAGAAAAGCTTGGAATAGTAACTGAAGTATATTACTTTTAGTGATTTTGATGAAGCATTTCCTATAAGTATAACAAGGTCTCCATGTAAGATGGAAATTATGTGATAATTTATCAGTAGTTATAGGAACCATGATCCTTGGTTTTTATTAGTTTTACTTTGACATATATTGATGGGATGAATATTTAAAGAAAAACATACTTAAGTAACTAAAATTCCTTTTTCATGCTTCTTTCTTTGTCTTCCCATCTTTAAACACTCCCCACTCCCCTATTAGGTGGTGTGGAATGGCTGCAAATTGAGGATAATGATTACTCTTGTAGACCCAACATGATTTGTAGCTTTCTCCATGAAAATGAAGATGAAGAAGTTGCAGCTCCAGCCACAGATAAACCTTTGCAGTTGGAAGAGCAAGAGATTCAAATGAAAGATACTTCAAACCTGAGTTATGAACAGGAAAAAACACCACACTTGGAAATAGAAGAGTCTGGTCCTCTTATTGATATTCCTTCTGAAACAGAAAGTTCTGTTTTTATGGCAACCCAAGATGCTGCCTTAGAAATCACTCCTAGATGAAATGTTTTAATAATAAATAGTTATGAACTTTTTAAAGTTTTTATATAAAATAATTAACTATGTGGTTTTCAGTTGTTCACTATTTTATTTTTATTTGTCATACACATTTTCAGTTATAGCTACAGCTTAATACACCAGAATCATTAAGGACCAGATATAAATAGAATTTTTGTAAATTCTATTAATATTCAGTTAGTTAGCCCTGGCTGGTGTGGCTCAGTTGGAGTGTCCTCCTGTACACTGAAAGGTGGCAGGTTTGATTCCCAGTCAGGGCATATACCCAGGTTGTGGGTTACGAGAGGCAACTGATTGATGTTACTCTCTCACATCGCTGTTTCTCTCTCTCTCTCTCCTCCCTCCCTCTCTCTCCCCTTCCCTCTCCCTTTGTCTCTCTAAAAAAAATCAGTAAAAAACATGTCTTTGGTGAGGATTAAAAATATATAAATAGCCCTGGCTAGTTTGGCTCAGCAGTTAGAGCATCGGCCCATGGACCAGTGAGTTGTGGGTTCGATTCCAGTCCAAAGGCATGTACCTCAGTTGTGATTCATCCCCAGCCCTGGTCAGGTCTTGCGGGAGGCAACTGTTGATGTGGCTCTATCACATTGATGTTTCTCTCTGTCTCTGTCTCCCCTTTCACTTTATCTAATAGTAAATGGAAAAATATCCTTGGGTGAGGAATAAAAAAAAAATATACACATATATATGGCTCCGGCCAGTTAGGCTCAGTGGTTAGAGCATCGGCCCACAGACCAAAGAGTCAAGGGTTCCATTCCAGTCAAGGGCATGTACCTCAGTTGTTGTTTGATCCCCAGCTCTGGTCTGGGTCATGCAAGAGGTAACCAATTGATGTGTCTCTATCACATTGATGTTTCTCTCCCTCCCTCCCTCCATCCCTTCTTCCCTCCCACTTAGTCTGGGGATAAATGGAGAAATGTATCCTTGGGTGAGAATTAAAAAGAAATTTCATACACACACACACACACATATACACACATATGCTTAAAATAACTAGAAAATCTCTAATGAGTTTTTTTAACGTTTTTTAATATTTTTCTTTAAAAGTTTTTTTTTCTTTATTGATTTCAGAGAGAAAGAGAGAGAAACATCAGTGAGAGAGAACAATTGGCTACCTCCTGCACGCCCCCCACTGGGGATTGGTCCCACAACCTGGGCATGTGCCCTGACCAGCAATCGAACCGGTGACCTCTTGATGCATGGGTTGATGCTCAACCAGTGAGCCACACCAACCAGGCTCTGATGAGTTCTTTTAAGTTGGACGTTTTACTAAGGTAAGTATATAAGTTTTCTATTGTAGTCCTCACAAACTACCACAAACTTAGTTGATTAAAACAAGACAAAAGTATTTTCTTACAGTTTTGTAGGATAGCAGTCTGACATGGGTCTCACCTGGGCTAAAATTAAGGTGTTGGCAGGACTTGATTCTTTTTTGTTTATCTGATCCCTTTCCCCCACCCCTCTCCTCTGAGATTTGTCAGTCTGAACCATACTCTTTTCTATCACTCTGTCTGTTTTGTTCAGCCTTTTTTGTTCATTATATTCCACAAATAAGTGAGATCATGTGGTATTTGTCTTTCTCTGATTGGCTTATTTCGCTCAGCATAATACTCTCCAGGTCCCTCCATGTCCTCTCAAAGGATACGGGATCTTTCTTTCTTATAGCTTTTTATCCACTCATCTATTGATGGACACTTGGGCTGTTTCCAGATCTTAGGACTTCATTCTTTTTTGGAGTGGGAGGTAGGGGTGGAGATGACATTGCTTTGCTCATTCAGTTATTGGCAGAATTCAGTGCCTAGCAATTGAAGGATCAAAGTCCCATTTTTTTGATGTCAGCTAAGGGCCATTTGCAGCTTCTAGAGGCTGCCTGCATTCCTTGGCTCATGGTCCCCTTCTCTTCGCAGCCAGCAATGGCAGGCTGAGTTTGTCTGCTGCTTAATGTTTATTCTGCTTCTATCTCTGACCAACCTTTCTTGCCTTCCATCTTTTTTTTTTATCCTCACCGGAGGACACTTTTTGCATTTATCTTCAGTTACAGCAGGAGGGGGAGAGAGAGAGAGAAACATTGATGTGAGAGAGTCACATCAACTTGTTGCCACCCTCACAACCCCAACCGGGGCCGGGGACAAACCACAACCGAGGTGTGTGCTCTTAGCGGGAACCAAACCCGGGACTTTTCAGTCTGCAGGCCAGGGCTCTAACCGCTGAGCCAAACCGGCCAGGGCACCTTCCATCTTTAATGGTCCAGTTGTTTACATTGGATCTACCTGGATGACCTCACTATTTTAAGGTCTATAATCTTAGTTGATCTGCAAAGTCCCTTATGCCATGTAACTTAACATAAACAGGTGTAGAACTGAGCAGTAGGGCATGAGAATATTTGGCAGTGCATTATCCAGTCTACCACAGTAATTATATATCTAGGAACAGAAAAATAATTCAGAAGTGCTTAAGGATAAAGGCAAGTTCCTGCTGTCTCAGCTGTATTTCCATTCCTTTCCCACTTGAGAAAGATTATTATAATTCAGCTATAACAGCCATTCTATTGGGATGATGTAGATCTGCTCTAATTTGTATTTTTTTACATAAAGTATTCACAAACTTTGATACTTATTATAGATTGAACTGTTTGAAACTGCCGATATTTGTTTCTGACTATAAAAAGCAGGCAATTTTGCCCTGGCCAGTTTGGCTCAGTGGTTAGAGCGTCGGCCGGTGGTCCCGAGAGACCCAGGTTCAGTTTCCGCTAAGGGCATGTACCTCAGTTGCAGTTTGTCCCCGGCCCTGGTTGGGTTGTACCGGTGGCAGCCACTCAATGTGTCCCTTTCATGTCGATGTTTCTCTCTTCCTCTCTCTCCCTCCCACTCTACCTGAACAACAAAAAAAAGGAAAAATGTCTTTGGGTGAGGATAAAAAAAAAAAATTTTAAAGCAGGCAATTTTATGTGGTTTAACCTGGTACTAATAAATTAAAACACATTGATCATATAACTATTGGAGATATAAATATTATGACAGGTTATAGGATGAGGAATTTTTTTCTTCAATAAGATTTGTAACTTTTGACAAAAAGCAGTTTATCTTGATTAAAACCACTTCCAGCCCAGCCAGTGTGGCTCTGTGGATTGAGCGTCATCCCATGCACCAAGAAGTTGCTGGTTTGATTCGGGTCATGGCCCATGCCTGGGTTTGGGACTTGATCCCCAGTAGGGAGCTAGCAGGAGGCAGCCAATTGATGTTCTGATGTGTCTCTTCCTCTCCCATCCTCTCTCTCTAAATATCAATAAAAATATATTTTTTAAATGGGAAAAGATTTGAATAGACACAAATGGCCAGTCAGTTCTGAAAAGATGTTCAGCATCACTTGCCATCAGGGAAATGCAAATGGAAACCACAGTGGAATACCACTTCATACCCATAAGGGTGGCATAAAAGAAAAAAAGAAAAAAGACGGACAATAGCACATTTTGGTGAGTAGAGAAGTTGGAATCTATGGTTGATAGACTAAGATTCCCCCTCAAAGATGTCCATGCTCTAAACTCAGGAATCTGGATATGTTACATGACCAAACACAATTTGCTGCATGAAATGGGCTCACTATCATGAAATATTCAGGTGGGCCCCATATAATCACAAGGATCTTATAAGAAGGAGACAGTAGTGTAAGGGTCAGAGAAAAAGAAGATGCAACAATGGAAACAGGTCCAACGGATGCCCTTTGAAGATGGAAGAACAGCAAAGAATGCAGACAGCTTCTAGAATCTAGAAAAGGCAAAGAAACATTATCCCCTGGAGCTTTCAAGGGGAATGCAGTCCTACTGACATCTTAATTTTTGACTTGCAAAGTTAATTTCAGACTTGATTTTCAGAACTGTAACATAGTAAATTTGAGTTATTTAAGTTAGTAAATATGTGGTAATTTTTACAGCAGCAATAGAAAAACCAATACCAAACACTCTTGCATTGCTAATGGAAATGTAGACTGGTTCAGGTGAACATAGTTTGACAGTTCCTTGGAATGTTAAGTATAGAGTTACCATATGGTCCTGCAATTGTACTCTTCGGGAATTGAAAATAAACGCGTACTCAAAAACTTATACATAATTTTCAAAACAGCATAATTCATAATACGGGTACTTAAAAAAGTGGAAACAACCCAATGTTCATACATTTTTTTTTTGAGAATTTTTATGAGTTTATTTGAGCCAAATTGACATGATGGAAGCAAGATCTCAAATGGTACTCCATACATTTTTTAGTGGATGAACAAATATGGAATATCCATAGAATGGAATATTATTCAATCCTCAAAAAAGAAGTGAATTACTGATACATACTACAACATGTACACATGTGATCATACTAAGTGAAACAAGCTAGACTCAAAAGGCCACATATTGTATGAATTCATTGATATATGTTCAGAATAGGCAAATCCATGGAGACAAAGATTACCGGTTGCCAGAGGATGGCAGGAGGAGAGTGATTGCTATTGGTTTGCAAAGGGGGGGTGGGTTCCTTTTGGGGAGATAAAATGTTCTGGACTTAGTGGTGATGTTTGCACATCCTTGTGACTGTACTAGAACCACCAAATTGTACACTTTACAGGGGTAAAATTTAATGGTATGTTAAGTATATGGCGATTTAAAAATTGGAAAAAATCATAATCAGCAGTGTGATTTTATGTACACTTTTATGTGCCAGGCACTGTGATAGTTATAAACTCCATCTCACAGATCTCACAGTTGAGTAGTGCACATTTCATATTGATATTTTTAGGGACCACACGGGTACCTATCAACCTTTTTACCATCCTGGGGGATTCCCAGAAGAATAACACCAATACGTGCCTTGGGATATACACACAGGTATGTATATGACGGTGCCAGAGGCGATGTTACTTAGAGCTTTAATTTCTGGGACAGAAGTGCTGCAAGAACCCGTAACCAAGGGAACAGAACGCAACTGCTTCTAGAGTGCCCGCTAGCGCCTCTAGGCATTTACGGCGGGGCCGCCCCAGGAAGTGGCGTCATGCGCCAGTTCCGGTTCCGCCTGTTCCGGAGACGCGGCTGTCTCGCGGTACTCGCGCGGTGCACGTGTGTACTCGGTTCTCTTTGCAGTAACGATGGACGTTCTGGATCGGGTTGTGTAAGTTCGCAGACTCCTTGCCGCGGGGAACGTCGGGTAGAGGGGCTGCTGTGGAGGAATGGAGGGTTGTAGCCACTGCATCGCGCCCCTCCTGGTTACCACCCTCATCCTCACACCCTCCACCAGTCGGACCCGGGTGGGGGCAGATCAGTCCACTAGTCTGTGTCTCGTTGGGTGATGCCGCCTACCGGCGACCGAGAGCCGGGAAGCCCACCGAGGTAGCCGCGGGCGGAGGTTGCACAGAGCTATTGGCCGCTTTTTAGCATAGCCAGTGAGAAATGTCTGGTTTCCGAAGTGGGAGGGAGGTGGAAGACTGGGGCGTTAGGAGCACAGGCCTCGGAGTTCGACAGATCTAGGTGACAAATCGGGCGCATCCACTTAAGTTTTGTTGACATTGGACCATTTAATTTCCCTAAGTCTCTCAGTGTACAACAGCGTTCATAATCGTACCTCACAGAACCGTGAGGATTATTAGCGAGAATGTATGTGAAGCTTTTGCTCCAGCACGTAAAAGTACTCATTAGCCTTTTCTTTTCCTCCCAACCTTGTGCAGTTCTCTGAGTTATCCTTGAGTGATATCTGTTTTAAATCAATTGGAAAAATATCTGTTGGTCTACATAACCCTGCTGTTATTTGCTGTGGTTTTCATACAGTTGACCTGGATTATCATGTAAACAACAAAGTCTTCTTTTAGTCATTAATTTAGAGATTTCTTAAATGCATTTGCTATACCTGTAGATGTGGGGACTGCAAAGATAAGAAAGACTAGTTTACAGTCTAATTGGGGGACAAATAGCAAAACATAAGGTGTTACTTGCATTCCTTGCTGGTTAGTGAAGTAACAATCCACATGGAATGTTTGGCATATAGCATTGATAGTGCTATATAGACACACTAAATATCTCTTGATTTTATTTAATACATAATATGTGTGTGTCTTTATCAACAAGTAAATGATTAGAAGCTTCATATGTGCTTGACATTTTATCTGAAGGAGAATTTTAAAAATATGCATGGTAAACTACAGTGTGTGTATATTCTGTGTTTTTGTTTTTCTCCTCCTTCCTGAAGTGTCCATGGGCCTGAAAGAAGGAGGGAAGGTCACAGTTATTTAAGAGAGAATAATTCTTTCAGTAGATGTCAGAGACCTGAAGCAACAGTTCCACTGTGGTGGAAGCAGAGGGGAAGCCCTTTTTCTGAACAGAAAAGTATAAAAGCATAAAAATCATTCTGCTTCTGCTGTAACATCATAAAATCAGAATAATGGATTTATTTTCCCTTTAAATTTTTCAGGGTGATTGGCCTAGATGAGTTTTAAAATCTAGCTCATTTTGAAGATTTGCCTATTGACAAGCTGTGTCACCTTGGGCAGATTATCTCCCTGGCTTCAGTTGCCTCATCTATAAAATGAAGATTATAATTGTACTATCTCATAGGGTCTTGGTAAGATTAAGCCTTAATAGAGTGACTCTATAAAAATGTCAATCATTATTCTCTTTTGGTGACAGTAATGTGTGACTTTCTCAGCAGAGATAATGTGTACTTCCTGTCAGGCATTGTGGTCTTAAACCTGGAGGAAAGATAAGCAATAATTAGCCTCCTTATGTTTAGTAACTGCCCACAGATTGATCAGCAGTTGGTGTGCAATTCTTTGTGTTAGGTTACAAAGTATAGTTTGACAGCTTTAATACTGAGGCAAAAATAATGGAGTAAAAATAGGAACAGTATTCGCATAAGTCCTTTTATCATTTAATAAAAAGTGGTTTGATAGAAGCAGTAATAAAAGAATGCTGTGAATATTAAAATGAAAGCCTTAAAAAAAGCAAATAAAATTAATTTATTTAACAGTAATAAATGAATATATTTTTAAACTAATTATCTCCCTAAAAAGTGAGATTTTGTTTAATGGTGGAATCCTAACTGATAAATGTTATGTAATGTTTCTGTTGATTTTTAAGATTTTGCACATTAGTCAAGTTACGATTTTATAATAGGAGGAAAATGTTGTAAGTTGTTATAAACTGTTATTTTTCTGAACAGAAAGCCCAAAACGAAAAGGGCCAAGAGATTCCTTGAGAAGAGAGAACCAAAACTCAGTGAAAATATTAAAAATGCCATGCTTATTAAAGGGGGAAATGCAAATTTAACAGTGACACAAGTCCTTAGAGATGTGGTATGTATATATACTTATTTTTTAAATAGTTTTGAAATCATTATAGGAAATTTTCAGTATATGTGTTGGGCTGCTGGAGAAATAAATATATGGGTAAGTTATAATAGCCTTAAGAATGACTAGCTTTAGAGAAAAGCTCAAATTGGAGGTTATTTGTCTTGTCAAGGCACTGACTACTGGTTTTCCTTAAAGCAGCAGGTTCCAATTACTAAAATTTTGTTTGCTCACATTTAAGGAATATACTGTATCTAATTTGTAAAGTGAAATAATTGCATATTACTGTATATTTCTTTACCAATGCTAGTTACTATGCTGGGTGCTGGGGATGAAAGTTAGATGAAACACACTCTCTTCTTTCAGTGAGCCTAGTGAGGGAGATAGAGAAGTAAAAAATTATAGCATTGTAAATTGAGTGCTGTGTTAGAGGCATGCACAGAGTGGGATGGAGGCAGAGTTGGAGCAAGATCAGAGAGGGAAAAGATTTGTGTCCTAGGCTGAGAAAAAGCTTGTTCCAAAGGAAGTGTGAAGGAGCATGATGCATTGGGTAACTGCAAATAATTGGGTTGGCTAGTTGAAACTAAAAGAATAGGCAGGATGCCTTGGCTGGTTTGGCTTAGTGGTTGGAGCAGCAGCCCACGAACTGAAGAGTCGCAGGTTCGGTTCTGGTCAGGAGCATGTACCTCAGTTGGGGTTGGGTCTCTGGCCCTGGTCAGAGTCGTGGGAGGCAACCAATCTGTGTCTCTTTCTCACATCAGTGTCTCTCTCTCTCTCTCTCTCTCTCTCTCCTCCTCCTTCCCCCCCCCCTCCTACTCTATCTGAAGATAAATGGAATATCCTCAAGTGAGGATTTAAAAAAAAAATAGGCAGGATAAGATAATAACATGGAGTTTGAGCTTTATTCTGAAAGAATAACTAATCCTTTGCTGTCAGCCAAGTAAAGAGCATCTGGAGTTCTATGGTGGCAATGGAAATGAGAAATGATCAGAGAGAATAGATGTTGAGGGTTGAAGAGTTTGTGCATGAGTAAGAAGTATGACTTACCAGGTATCTGGCTTAGATGCCTAATGAGCAATAAGGCCAATTAAGGAAAATATCATGTGGATCAGATTTGGGGGGAAAATGATATGTTCAGTTTAGGACATGTAATTTAAGTGGTGAAGTTAAAAGGTTTTTTTACTTGTTTGTTTTTTAAGCCAGTCAAATTTAGCAGTGGGGGGTTAGTGACACTAGGTGAAGGTAAAAGTTTTATGTACTTCTGTAGCCTGTTTTAGTCCAGTGTCTGGTAGATAGTAGGTACTCAATACATGTTTGATCAGTGAATGAAAGACATGTCTTTAGGGATGTATAGCAGGTAGTTGAATATTTAGGCCTTTATAGCAGATAGATTCTTTTGAGTTAAATCAGGTAAATAATTGAATAGATTTTTAAACTTGATTAAACTCCCTGTACTTGTTAAACACAATGGTCAATTCAGATATCTGAATGTCTAACATATGTTCATCCTTTTTGTGTGTCTGAATGTCATTGTGTTGACAGGATACTGCTCCTGTCCTCCCCAAATCCTTTCAACACAATAAACCTACATATTAAGTAATCTCTAAGAACAGCACAATATTACAGATTATCACAGTAGTTAACACTCATGTTGATGACTCTGAGAATAGGTGGTAATATCAGTTCCACTGAGGCAGAAAACGTGGTCAAGGATCATCATAAGTGTTAGTGCTTAAAAAGATAGATTTTACTGGTGAATTTTTTTTGATCACTGGCTCTGATAGTTAATGAATGATAGTTTTCCTTATTTTTCATTATTTCCTTCATTTACCCCTTTCTCTAATGCAAAGCAATGCTTTAGATCTTTGTTATTTCCTATGGTAGAGCAGTACTGACCGTATAGGAAATGAGTGATTATTAGTGGATAGGTGAAAAGAAGTAGAAAAAAAAAAAAACAAAAGATGGTTGACTAACAAGAACTTAATTATTTTTATTTATTTATTTATTTATTTATTTTTAAATCCGCACCCAAAGATTTTTTTTTCTATTTATCTTCAGATAGAATGGGAGGGAGAGGGAGAGAGAGAAAGAGAGAAACATCGATGTGAGAGAGACACATTGACTGGTTGCCTCCTGCACAACGCTGACCAGGGCCAGAAACTGAGGTACGTGCCCTTGACCTGAATCGAACCCGTGGCTCATTGATCCGTGGCTGCTCTTAACTGCTAAGCCAAACTGGCCAGGGCACAAGAACTTTTTAAAGGACTATGTTTAAACTGACTGGTATTCTGATTGTCATCATTATGATTTTCTCAGTTCTCTTATCTCCAGGCGTTACTTCAATTCTATCAGCCTTTCCTGATGGGATGGATTATTTCTGTTGTCTTCTGCTCTTTCTACTCTCAAATTGTTTGCCTGGAAAGAATGGAGTAGGTAGAATTTAAAGAAATGATGGGAGGCATTTAAGTTGGATAGACTATTGAAAAGGCATAGAAAATTGTAATTAGGAAGGTCCAGTATAAATTAGAATATTAAGCTTATGTTGCAAAGTGTTTTTTTTTTTAATCCTCATCCGAGGACATTTTTCCATTTTTTGTACAGACAGAGTGGGAGGGAGAGAGAGGAAGAGAGAGAGAGGGAAACATCGATGTGAAAGGGACACATCGAGTGGCTGCCACCGCACGGCCGGGGACAAACTGCAACCGAGGTACATGCCCTTAGCGGGAACTGAACCCGGGTCTCTCCGGACCGCAGGCGGACGCTCTAACCACTGAGTCAAACTGGCCAGGGCTTGCAAAGTGTTATAAGTGATCAAAAGGGAGACAAGCAGGCCCTGGCCAGTTTGGTTTAGCTTTTGGAGCGTCAGCCCACGGACCAGAGAGGCGTGGGTTCAGTTCCCGCTAAGGGCACGTACCTCGGTTGCAGTTTGTCCTGGCCCCAGCTGGGGTTGTGTGGGTGGCAGCCCACATCTCACATCAATGTTTCTCTCTGTTCTTCCCTCTCTCCCTCCCGCTCTATCTGAAGATAAATGCAAAAATGTACTTGAGTGAGGATTTTAAAAAAAGAAAAGAAAAAAAAGAGACAAGCAGAACACATCAGAATAGGATTTAGGGACCAGAATAATCCTGTATAATGACTGTTATAATACTTTATTTTTACCATTGCTTTACAGAATGTGTTTTGTTTTGAAATCTTTAAATTATTTCTTTTTACAGTATGCACTGAAAAAACCATATGGCGTTCTGTATAAAAAGTAAGTCATAATTTCTTTTATTGTACTTTAAATTATATTACTCAAGTATAAAAGTAACAACCACTTTATGAAAGATTTAGAAATTTTTTTTCAAAAAACACTATAGTTCCATACATAAAAATATTTGTGGTTTTGTTTTTGTTTTTTTTTGGTGGTACATGCTCCTAGTGGAAACCGAACCCAGGACTCTCTGGTCCGCAGGCCGACGCTCAACCACTGAGCCAAACTGGCCAGGGCTGTTTGTATTTTTTAATTTATTTCTTTTCATTCTGTTTTCATTTCTATTAACTATTCTTACATCATTGTAAGAGTAGCGTATATGTTATTTTGAAATAATTACAGACTTACAAAAAAATCATAAAAATAGTAGCGTTCCCATATGTCCTTCACCCAGCTTCTCTTAATGTTACATCTTGCATAACCATAGTGCAGTTGTCAAAAGTAAGAAATTAACATTGGTACAATGATGTTAACTGAATTACAGGCTTGATTTGGACCAGTTTTTCCACTAATATCCTTTTTCTCTACCAGGATCCCACATTGCATTTAGTTGTCATGCCTCTTTAGTTTCCTCTAATTTGTAACAGCTCCTCAATCTTTCCTGGTCTTTCATGATCTTGATACTTTTGATGAGTAATTGTCAGTTATTTTGTAAAATATTCCTCATTTTGGATTTGCCTTAAGTTTCTCATGAATAGATGGAGGTTATACATTTTTGGCATGAATACCACAAAAGTGATGTGCTTTTCTCAGTAAATCATACCAGGGAGTACATGATGTCTTATATTGGTGGCGTTAACCTTGGTTAAAGTGCTGTCTGCTGGATTTCTCCACTATAAAGTGACTTTTTTTTTCTTTGTTATTAGTAAATTACAAAGTCTGGAGGAGATGCTTTCAGACTATGCAAATAATTTTTTTTCTTTTATTTTAGCACCATCTATAGATCTAGTCTACAGTAGTAATTACTGTGGTATTCTAATGCTGGTTTTCTATTTTCTTCATTTCTTCTACATTTATTAATTGGAATTCTGTAAAGAAAATCTATCCTGCCCTGGCCGGTTTGGCTCAACAGTTAGAGCGTTGCTCCAAGGACCAATGAGTCATGGGTTAGATTCCGGTCAAGGGCACGTACCTCTGTTGCATTTCGTCTCTGTCCCTGGTCGGGGCCGTGTCGGAGGCAACTACTTGATGTGTCCCTCTCATGTCAATGTTCTCTCTCTCTCTTCCTCCCTCCCGCTCTATCTGAAGAGAAATAGAAAAAAAATATCCTCCGGTGAGGATTAAAAAAAAAAAAGGAAGGAAAATCTATCCCTTCTCCTCCTTTTGTTTAATTTATATCAGTGTGGACTTACGGATATTTATTGTATTCTTTGGGGTAATAATTCAATGCTATTATTTATTTTGTTGTTTAAATTGTTCTGCCTTTGGCTATTGAGATCTCTTTCACGTTGGCTCCTGTGCCCTTTCAACATGCTCTGTTTGAGTACTTACTTTCTGGGACCCCAAAATACTCCAGGCTCATCTTATATTTTTCTTTGCTGCAGCCTTCGAATCAACTCCTCCACAAAACCTTGTAGAAACGAAGATCTGGGCATTAAATGTGCTCAGTTGCTATTGGAGTGTCATTTCCTCTAGATTTTCTCAACAGAAAGAGCTTAAAAATACATGTTATAGCCCTGGACTGGTGGCTCAGTTGGTTGGATTGTCATAAAAGGTGGTGGGTTTGATTCTGGGCAGGACACACACCTAGGTTGCAGGTTCAGTCCCTGGTCATGTTATGTGTGGAAGGCAACCAGTTGATGTTTCTCTCTCCCTCACTCTCTAAAAATCTTAAAAAAATATATCCTTAAGTGAGGATTAAAAAATAAAAAGCATATACAGGGTAGGGCAAAGGTAGATTTACAGTTGTGAGTATGCAAAACAGTTTATTCTTACATTTTTATCTATTAATTATTGTATTATTTTCCATATGAACAACTATAAACCTATTTTTGCTCCTGAATTAATACTGATAATTTCAATTCCAGTCCAGTGTCACAGACTTCATTTCAGCCTTTCTCCTTTTCTTGTTTGTAACTTCTGACAGTAAAAAACCTGGCTTCCATTATTTATAATATAGTTACTTGTGTGATTCTAGTATATACATAGTTTCAGAATTTATACCCTATAAGAAGCAATGTACTAATTAGGGCATGGATTTTTTTTGCATATGTCTTTAGCCTTACAGTATCCAATCAAAATACTATTTTCCAGTTTAACTTGGGTTAAACGTTTTGTGGGTTTTTTTTGTGCTCCTTCAATGTGATTATTATTCATTTATGCTACATTTAGGCTCATTTATTACAGTTTGTATTCTAGTTTGGGTTTTCCACCGCACCCTGGTGGTGGTTTTAATTTACATAACCTTTTTTTTTTTTTAATCCTCACCCGAGGACATTTTTGCATTTATCTTCAGATAGAGAGGGAGGAAGAGAGAGAGAGAAACATCATTGTGAGAGAGACACATCGAGTGGTTGCCACCTGTATAACCCCAACCGGAGCCGGGGACGAACTGTAACTGAGGTACATGCCCTTAATGGGAACCGAACCCGGACATTCCGGCCTGCAGGCCGATGCTCTTACCACTGAGCAACCGGCCAGGGCTAAAATTTACTCTTTGTAGTGTACAGTTTTGTGGATTTGACCGATGTATTGAGTTGTACCTGCAATTACAGTCATGCAGGAACAGTTCCATTATCCTGAAAATTCCTTCACGTAGTGCTCTTTTTCTTTTTTTAATTTTTTTTCTTTATTGATTTTAGAGAGAGAAAAAAACATCGATGAGCGAGAACATTGATTGACTGCCTCCTGCATGCCCACACTGGGGACTGGGCCCACAACCTGGGCTTGTGCCCTGACCAGGAATTGAACCAGTGACCTCTTGGTGTATGAGTCAATGCTCAACCACTGAGCCACACTGGCTGGGCAATACAGTACTCTTTTATAGTCCTCTCCCTTTTTCCCTCTTGTAACCAAAGATTTATTTTTCACCCTTTCAGTCTTTTCTTTTTCAGAATGTCACATAGTGGAATCATACAACAGGTAGTCTCTGGTGTCTATCTTCTTTCATTAGCAAAATGAATTAAAATTTTTTCTCTGTTGTTTTATACATGCAGTTTTGTATCAAGCCTTCTCCATTTATGTTATAAATGGTACTTCTTTCAGTATTATTATTTGTAAAAGATTTTAAAATATATTCATTTTAGAGATGGGGGAGGAAGAAAGAGAGAGGAACATTGATTTGTTGTTCCATTTATTTATGCATTTATTGATTGATTCTTCTCTGTAGCCTGTGCTGTCTCTCTCAGCCTGCCAGGGGTTGGCACAGTGCAATGAACTACAAGCACATGATAGTAGGAGTGAGGGGGAGCATAGCAAGGGAGTAAATGCTCCACATCTCTGGATGCAGCCCAGTTTATTTGCAGAGTGGTTCCCCAAGTTACATGTGAATTTATGTAAATAATTTCCTTGAGATGGCTCCTCTGCAAACTGTACAGTTGAACCTTGTCTCCCTTTTTATAGCGGAAAGACTTCAAAGCTAAAAAGTAACAAACCCAGACACTCCAGGGTCCAGGACCAGTTATCCTCACTGGCTGGTCTTCCAACCTTTTGACATGCAAACCTAATTCACATGCGAATGAAGCACTGAGAGACACTCAAGGCAGTTTTCCAACCTTCCAGTCAAACCTGTCTGTCCACACACACTTAGGCTGGCCAGGTTGCGAGAATGCATATCACAAGGTTACAAATCGTTCATCCACCAAACCCCCATCCCTACACCCTTACTGGGGATCGAACCTGCAATCTTGGCATATTGGGACAACATTGTAACCAACTGAGCTACCTGGCCAGGGCTTAGTATTTTTAATGCCAGTATAATGCCTATTAAATGGTTATACTAAGTTTACTTAACTATTCCTTAATTTGGGGGAATTTAGGTTTTTCAGTTTTTTATTCTTATAAATAATACAAAGAGGCCATTTTTACACAAAGGAATTATCCTTTTTTTTTTGTCCATCCTCACCCCAGGACATTTTTTCATTTTTTGTTCAGATAGAGTGGGAAGGAGAGAGAGAAACATCAACATGAAAGGGACACATCGAATGGCTACCTCCCGCATGACCCAACCAGGGCCGGCGACAAACTGCAACCAAGGTATGTGCCCTTACCAGGGACTGAACCCGGGTCTCTGGACCGCAGGCCGACCCTCTAACTGCTGAGCTAAACCGGCCAGGACAGGAATTATTCTTTTTGAATTAGCTTCTTCATGAGATTCCTAGATGTGACATGACAGGTTACAACTTTATATGCCCAATGTAGCATATTAATATTATTTCTTTTTGAAAAGTTTGTCCTTTTGGCAGAGTGCATTATATAAGTCTCACAGGCCTTTACCTACTTTGGGTTTATTTTTTTTAATTAAGAAATGAAAATGATGATTTTTGTTTAACTCACATTTCCATATGTTTCCAGCAGGTCATATTTACTTATTTGTGAATTGCTATTCACTATTAATCACAATACCTTTTTTTTTAACTGATTATAAAAGTAATGATGTATTTATCTTACATAATTAGGATGAGTAAATAATAACCTATAGATATGCGCTGTACATTTTGACATTTCTCCCATTTATTTTTATATCTGTATATTTTATTTTTTAAACAAAATTGACATGTATATATGATTTTCTCTTTAAATTTATAAAAATTATGAACTGTTTTATATTTTATGATTAAAAATCAGAACTTATATGCTGAAAATATAAACACACATTTATTCCAGACAACTATCACTAGTTTATTATCTTACCAGAATTTACTTATGCATATTTAAGCAAACATATGTCCTTATTTCTCTCTCTTTTGCATGAAAGATAGTTCTACATTTCTCGACATACTGCTTCTCCATTTTCATTAACTCTGTTCTGGTCCCGCCTCCCATTTTTTTCTTTCTCTCCTGAATTACTGCTAAAGCTCCTTACTGACTCCTTTCACTCTTACCTTACTATATTCCATTCTTATATAGAAGACAGAGCAGTCCTTTAAAAGGAGAATTTGACTCCAATCATATTACTCTCCTGCCTGAAATTCTGTAGTGCTTCCCATTACTCGTCTGCACTCCTTAACCTCACCCAAAAAAGGTATTACATTATCTCGGCTGTGTCTGCATCTTTAAAAGCTCCAGTGACACTTGCCTTCTTTCTGTTTCTTGAATAGTCTAAGCTTGTTTTCATCTCAGAATGTTTGCTTATTCTAACCCCTCTTACAGTACTCTTAGCCTCGAAACTTTTCTATGACTAACTCCTCATTTTTCAGGTCTCAGCTCAAACAGTCATTTTCCACTTTTCACACTGACACAGTACCCTATTTTATTTTTGCCACAATAGCTATTGATTTTTGAAATTGTTTCATTTTTCTTCACTAGAATGTAAGATCCAAGAAAGCAAGGCTTTTGTTTGACATGGTATTATAGTATCTCTAGCTCCTAGAACAGTGCCTGACACATAATAGGCACTAAATGATACTTGACCAAATTAATATTGTTCTAGCTTCTTTTTTTTAATCCTTATCCGAGGACATTTTTTTCATTTTTGTTCAGATAGAGTAGGAGGGAGAGAGAGGAAGAGAGAGAGAGAGAGAGAGAGAGAGAGAGAGAGAGAGAGAGAGAAACATCAACGTGAAAGGGGCACATCAATTGATTGCCTCCCGCACGACTTGTAGCTGAGGCCTTGACCAGAATTGAACCTGTGATTCATTGGATTGCGGGCCGATGCTCTAACCGCTGAGACAAATCGGCCAGAGCACTAGCTTCTTTTTTTGATCATCTGAATGTAAAATATATTTACTTATATATTAATAGTTATGGGTAAATTACTTACTAAGATTATTAAAACTAGGCTCACCTTTTAAAAAATATTTGTAGGAAAAATATTACGAGACCATTTGAGGATCAGACATCATTGGTAAGTATGAAAATCTTTCTAATTTAAGAGAGCATGTAAGTGATTATTCAGACTAAATGATTTAGTACTCTTAATATATGATTTCTTAAAATTAGAAGTCATCCTGTGTGAGAATTTTGATGTAAAAATGGAGGGGAAATAAAGCTTTTATACTTTTAAAACATGACTATAGATTTTACATTTCACTCTGACTAGTATTTATTATTTACTGCTTGCATTTCTACTGATTTGGCCTTTTATTTATTTATTTATTAAAAAATTTTTTTTTCCTTTATTGATTAGAGAGAGAGAGAGGGAGATAGAAACATCGATGAGAGAGAACATCAATTGGCCGCCTACTCCATGCTCCCCACTGGGGATCAGGCCCACAACCTGGGCATGTGTCCTGACTGGGAATCAAACTGGCGACCTCTTGGGGGAACCTCTGAGCCACACTGGCTGGACTGATTTGGCCTTTTAAAAACATTTAGCCCTGGCCAATGTGGCTCAGTTGGTTGAGCATTGTCCCATGCACTGAAAGGTTGCTAGTTTGATTCCTGGTACATGCCCAGGTTGCAGGAAGCAGCCTATTGATGTTTTCCTTTCATATCAATATTTGTCTTTCTCCCTCTCCATTCTTCTCTCTAAAATCAATAAAAACATTTTTTAGAGGAATGAAAATAAATACATAAATAAATAACATTTTTGAGCACTTACTTTGTGCCAGAGACAGTAGTAGGTACTTTCACATATGACAAATCATGTGGCCCTTGCAAATTTTTGCAGGAGGTGTTATTGTCCCTGATGTACATATGATAAAACTAATTCTCAGAAAGGTTGACCAGATCCCATCACAAATGACAGAGCTAGAATTCTTGGACTCTCTGACTCTGCATCCTCCACATGGGGAGTGGATAGGCAGGTGGATAGTTGTTTGCCTCAATCACTTCTGCTTAAATACTGGAATAAAGGATAATGAAAAGGGGCCCACACCTCAGGGAGTCTTGTAACCAATAAAGAAAAGTTGAGGATTATTGTTTTATCTGTTCTTTAATGTTTTGTCATTAAAGAACCTTTTCTAACTAGACTAGAACACATTGAATCTAATTTTTGTATCGAAATTGGGAATCTCAGTAAACTGAATCAAACTATGTGGGATGTAGCGAGCATGTGCATCAGTATAAAAGGAGCTGTTTCGGATAACTATTTCCACTCCTCTCAAATCTGAAATGGAAGTCAATACTTTGGAGAGCCAGATGGAAGAGATGTTTCTTACTGGCAGGAACAACATAGGTCTGTCATTCTGCCCTTGCTGGGTACACAAAATAGAATTAGTCACAGCTGGGGTGGCTTGGAGATTCTATGGGAAGATTCCTGTGTGGATGAAGTTTGTAATGAAAAGTAGACATACATTGTAAATGCATGATTCCAATTATAAACAATTAAAAACACCATGTTGATTAATGAAACTAGTGGTGTCCCATGAGTTAAAGGCATCTTGTTCAGCAAATGAAATACTTGTCTGCTATTTCAAAATAACTGCATAGCTGAAAAGATAAATGGTCTGTATTTATTTTTTTTAATCCTCCCCTGAGGACATTTTTTTGATATTTTGTTCAGGTAGAGTGGGAGGGAGGGAGGAAGGGAGAGAGAAACATCGACGTGAAAGGGACATATCAAGTGGTTGCCACCCACACGACCCAACCAGGGCCGGGGACAAACTGCAACTGAAGTATGTGCCCTTAGCGGAAAATGAACCTGGGCTTCTCTGGACCTCAGGCTGACGCTCTAATCGCTGAGCCACACCGGCCAGGGCTGGTCTATATTTATTTATTACCCTAATAGTTTTTATATATTTTTAGTTTTGAACTTACACTTTCCCTATAGACCCCAAATCAGAAAATTTGTACTAAAAGGTAGAAATAAAGTTATTTTCATCTGTTTCTTCCCATATAGTTCATTAAGTCTTCCTTAATGTCCACTGAAAAAGACTGATATACTTTTTTTTTTTAGTTCAGAGGTATGGTTCTTAAGATTCTTATATGTATTCATTGATTGAATGACATTTCTTTGGTTTTTAAAATTTTTTATGTTTTTATTAATTTATTTTTGTTACAGATGTTTTTCCTCTAGACCCCCTCTTCCCGATCCCACGCCCCACCTCCCCCCACACAGTTGTTTGTATCCATTGGTTACACATACATGCATGTAAGTTCTTTGGTTTATCTCAAGGATTTCTTTGGTTTTATAGGAATTCTTTTCAAAGAAGTCAGATTGTTCTTTATTTCTGTTTGGCTCCCATAATAAGAAGCGGCCAAATAATCTAGTAATAGGTAAGTACATTTACTTTTTAGTATTTTTATTTGTAGAGTCACTTTTGTGATAATTGATGATGTCGAGAATTCAGGAGTAACTAGTAAGCTCTAAAGTAGTATTTTTTCCATGTGACTTTGAATAAAATATTTTGTCTACCAGTCTTTAGGTAAAGAAAGAATGGACATATAAATATTACCTTACTTCAACTTGTAAATATTTTTCTAATATATATCCTAAATCAGTATTAGAGTTAGAAGAAAAAAAAGTAGCATTTCTACTTGCACAGATTGACTCTTTCCTAATAAATATCTGTTTAATGGATATATTTTAGGGAAAAAACCTTTGCCTGGGTGTTTTGAGACTTTCTGTGGTATGCTTAATGGTTTAGGCAGGCAAACCCTTTACTCTCTGGGCCTTTATTTACTCTTCTATAAAATAGGGGAGTTTGGCTAAATTATCTCTCAGATCCCTTCCAGGACCAAGATTGCAACAATCTGTCCTAGGTAGTGTTGAAAATTTAAAGAAGAGGAGACATATTTGAGGGATGTAAGGAGAAAGGAAAGAGGCAGATAGAATAGTTTGAACATTGCAGATAGTGGGGATATTGCAGATAAGCCATTTGGGGAAAATAAATGCTTAAAAGAAAATGTATTTTCCTTCTAGGTCGTATGTATGACTACCATGTGCTGGATATGATTGAATTAGGTATTGAGAAATTTGTCTCTCTAAAAGATATTAAGGTAAGATACTGATAAAAATAAGAAACATTTTGCAATGTTGCTTTTGGGTAATAGTGACATCTTGTGGTAAAGAGTGTTGATAGAGTTTTGTAGCTTAAATAAAAAAGAACTTTGTTTATATACTAGTGTGCTCTAATATAAAAGCACAAATTCATTTTACCTTTACTTAAAAAGAGGAATATATAAGCGTATAACACGTGTGGGCCCTTGCTGGTTTTGCTCGGTGTAAACAGCATCAGCCTGCAGACTGAAGAGACATGTTCGATTCCCAGTCAAGGGCACGTGCCTCAGTTTCAGGTTTGATCCCCAGCCCTGGTCAGGGTCATATGGGAAGCAACCAATTGAATGTGTCTCTCTCACATCCATGTTTGTCTCTCCCTCTCACTTCCTCTCTCTCTAAAATCAATAAAGGAAAAAAAATAGAAATAAAAAATAAATAAAAAACAAAAACATGGGTGAGTCTTCTGGTAGTTAGACTTCAGAGTGGTTACTATTGTCTAGTCCCATGATTTAAATGCTATCCTTTCCCTCCGAGTTACCACAGCACCTATTTTATAGAAGTACAGTAATATTACAATGTTCAAAGTGAGCCCTGTTACAAACCTAGGAAGTTTGAACTGATCCTACAGTATTTTGGCTACTGGCCACCAAATTGCTAGTTCAGTCTTCCCCTTATGCATTTGCATCTTTGTGTTTTCTTTATTTGAATGGATTATGAAATACTAGAAAGTAGTAAATAGTCTTAGAAAGGCAAGAAAACTGCCCTAATTCAGCTCCTGTGTCCAAATTGGACTTTTGCACCCTCCGAACTCTGCTTCTAGGCTTAATCTATTCCATCAAATACATTATTTCCTCATAGCTACCCTATGAAAGGCTGGAATCATTTTCCCTATTGTATAGATTTAGAGATTGAAGCCCAGAGGCATTCTGTTGGTGACTTAGAGTCATGAATATAGTAAATGGTATAACTTAGAGCCATACATGTAGTAAATTAGGACTCAAGGACTTTCAAAGAAAGTGTATTGAAGCTTCTAATATAAAATTAAATAATTGTTCTCAGTTTATGGGTCTTTGAGGGTCATAGTATAGTTGAAAGAATTACCGCAAATATATAGTAAGTAACTCCTTTTCCCAATCTTCTCTAAAAAGAGGACATGACTCCCAGGTCCTGTGGGTTCGAGAAAAGGCTCTTACTAGATCCCCACTTAGCTATACCAGTGTCCTCAGGTACAGTATAGAACAGTAGCCTGAGATTGGATTTAAATGTACAACACTTGGGTTTGAGACCTGTCTTGGCCATTTAGATGATTTCTCACCTGATGAAGTCAGTTACTTTCCTGACTCTTTATTGCAATCAAGTATTAAATAGGTATAAAAATATCAAATGAAATAATATGTGTGAAAATGCTTATCATTGAAAATAATGTATTGGAAGGCATTTTGTAAAGTGTGTAAACAGTGATGCTTTATTATACTGGAAACTATGAGTTTGTATAGTTTCTCTTTAGGGCTGTGCATGCATCCCTGAAGATGAGCAGCATGTCCCCTTACCTTTGCCACTGCTGCTAGCTTGGTCACCAGTTAGTGGGTGTGAGCACTGGCTAATGCATGCATGCCAATCCCTCTACTCTTTCCACTTCGTTTCCAAAGCAAAGAAATACTTCTGTCACTGTGCCACTTGTAAACTGGACCACATTGTTTCTCAGGTCTCATTCTTAACAAGAACCATTTGAACTAAATAGTAAGCCCTGGCCGGTTTGGCTCAGCAGTTAGAGCGTCGGCCTGCGGTCCAGAGAAACCCAGGTTCGGTTCTCACTAAGGGCACGTACCTCAGTTGCAGTTTGTCCCCGGCCCTGGTTGAGTTGTTTGGGTGGCCACCACTCGATGTGTCCCTTTCACGTCGATGTTTCTCTCTCTCTCTCTCTCCCCCTCCCACTCTATCTGAACAAAAAAATGAAAAAATGTCCTTGGGTGAGGATAAAAAAATAAATAAATAAACTGAATAGTAAATTGTCACTCATGGAACATATCCATAAGTACAAAATTCATTAATTGCCGAGTAGATGCCTACATTGGCAATCCGTGTATAGACTGTTAGCCCTTCACTTTTTTTTTATTCCTCACCTGAGGATACTTTTGTATTTATTATCAGATAGAGTGGGAGGGAGGGAGGGACATTAGATAGAGTGGGAGGGCGGGAGGGAGGGAGAGAAACAGCAATGTGATAGAGCTACATCGACTGGTTGCCTCCCGCATGACCCCAGCCAGGGCTGTGGAGGAACCTTGTCCGGAATCGAACCAATGACTCATTGGTTTGCTCTAACCACTGAGAAAACCAACCAGGACAGCCCTTCACTTTTTTTTTAAACTCATCTTTATTGTTGAGTGTATTACAGATGTTTTACCCTTTTTCCCCCATTGACGCCCTCCTCCCCATTTCTGCCCTCTCCTGCCTTCCCCACACTTTTGTCGTATCCATTGGTTGTGCATATATGCATAGAAGTTCTTTGGTTTATCTCATCCCACCCTCCCTCCCCCTTTCCCTTTGAGGTTCATCAGTCTAACAACCAATTTATACTTCTTAATTCCTTCATCTTTTTCAATCATCCCCCCAGCCCCCACCCATCTGGCAAGCAACAAAAAGTTCTATGTGTCCATGAGTCTGTTTTTTGTTCTGCTTGCTCATTTTGTTTGTAGATTCAGTTGTTGCTAGATATATATTAATTGCCTTTTTGTTGTTCATATTTTTGTTCTTCGCCTTCAAGAGGACCCTTCAACATTTCATATAATACTGGTTTGGTGGTGATGAATTCCTTTAGCTTTTTCTTGTCTGGGAAACTCTTGATATGTCCATCAATTCTAAATGATAGCTTTGCAGGATAGAGTAATCTTGGTTGTAGGTCTTTGCTTTTCATCACCTTGAATATCTCTTGCCACTCCTTTCTGGCCTGCAAAGTTTCTTTTGAGAAATCAGCTGACAGTCTTATGGGCGCTCCTTTGTAGGTAACTAACTGCTTTTCTCTCGTGCCGCTTTTAAGATTCTCTCTTTGTATTTAACCTTTGGCATTTTGATGATGATGTGTTTTGGTGTGGAACTCTTTGGGTTCAACTTGTTTGGGACTCTCAGTGCTTCCTGGACTTGTATGTCTGTTTCCTTCACCAAGTTAGGGAAGTTTTCTGTCATTGTTTCAAATAGTTTTTCAATTTCTTGTTCTCTCTCTTCTCCTTCTGGCACCCCCAAGATGTGAATGTTGGCATGCTTGAAGTTGTCCCAGAGGCTCCTTACACTATCCTCATATTTTTGGATTCTTTTTTCTTTTTGCTGTTCTGGTTGGGTGTTTTCTTCTTCCTTATATTCCAAATCGATGATTTGCTTCTAAGCTTTACCTACTCTACTATTGATTCCCTGTAAATTATTCTTTATTTCAGTTAGTGCATCCTTAATTTCTGACTGGTTCTTTTTTATGTTTTTGATGTTCTCACTAAGTTCCTTGGAGGTCTCCTTAAGTTCCTTGAAGATCTCACTGAGTTTCTTAGAGGTCTCCTTAAGTTCCGTGAAGGTCTCACTAAGTCCCTTGTATGTCTCACCAAGTTCCCTGAGCAACCTTATAAACTGTGTTCTGAACTCTGCATCTGTTAGATTGCTTATCTCCATTTTGTTTAGTTCTTTTTCCTGGAGTTTTGTTCTTTTCTTTCATTTGGGACATGTTTCTTTGTCTCCTCATTTTGGCTGCTCCCCTGTGATTGTTTCTATGTGTGAGGTAGAGTTGCTATGTCTCCTAGGGTTCATAGGGTGTCCTGTAGGATCCAGTGGCACAGTCTCCCTGATCAACCCAGCTGGGCCCTCAGAGAGCACCCCTAGTGTGGACTATGTAATTGAGTTTTGATTACTGTTGGCATGTCAATGGGAAGGATTTACTTAGGCTAATCAGCTGCAAGGACTGGCTGTGCCCAATAGCCAGTGCCTTGGAGGATCAGCTGTGTAGGGACCCGCCACCCAAAGAAAGACTTACTTCAGCAAGGCTCTGGTACCCACTGAGTCCACTCATTGAGTGTGTCACTTATGGAGGTGGTGGGGTGGTGGTGGTTCGATGTGGTCTGAAGCCGTCGACCAGGTGTGCTGGCTCTGGGGCAAGGTCAGCCTCTGCCTGTGCTCTATCCAGGGCCACCCAGCATAAGCTACAAAGTGAACTGCAGATGGCTGCTGCTTGTGCTGGGCTTGGAGGTGTCCAGGAAAAGCCAAATTGTGAACCAAGGCTAGCTGCTTCTGGTGCCAGACCTGGGGCCACTTAACGAGAGGTATGGGGCTCTCTGAGACTAACTCCTCTCGAGCCCCGGCTTTGCACTATTCTTGTGGGCCACTGGGTCGCACAGGTCCGTCCAGAGCCCTGGCTCCACACTGCTCTTGTGGGCTGCTGGTTTGCACAGGTCCCTCTGGATTCCCGGCTTCCCATTGCTTTTGTGGGCTGGTTGGTCGCACAGGCCTCTCTGGATTCCCCAGCTTCCCACTGCTCTTGTGGGCCGCTGGGTCGCATGGGGCCCTATGGAACCCCAGGTCCCGCTGCTGGTGGCTGGGGAGGGCTCAGCTCCTGCTCAGCCTTTGCTGTAGTTTTTGGGAATGGTTCTTTGCTGCTGGTCTGTGCTTCTGTTGCCCGGGGATGGATGTCTGCTCCCCAGCCTCTGTTGCTGGGGGTATACCCTGACTCTGATTGGGCCGCTACTGCTGGGGATGGTGTTGGGCTCCCAGCCATTTGCGGTTTCCACAACCAGCACCTTGACAGCTTCACTACAGTGCACTGGTCTGTGTTGACACAGGATGTCCACTGGCCCGATGGTGCCAGGTGCACTGGTGGGCTCAGGTACCAGATGCTGCTTGTTTGAGAAATTTTAGAAAACTCTGAAGCAGGATTAAAGACAGACCAATCCTATGTTAAAGCCTTTGGGAAGCTTGGGTGGGCCCGAAAGTTGGGTGGGGCAGGGCCTCAAGGAATCACCAGGGTGGGGCCAACAGTGTGAGCCAGGTTGCTGGAGTCCCAGATATGGCAGCTGTCTCCCTGCCCTGTGGGGGCAGGACTCATCAAAGGAACAACGGCCTCCACCAGCAAGTCTGTCCAGGAGAAAGCTGCCCTTCCAGGCCTCGTCTGGAGGCAAAGCTGCTCAGTTCTTCCCTGTCCTTGGGAGCTCAGAGGGAGCAGGTCTGAGTAAATCTGTGCGCGGCCCTTTAGGAGGAACTGCTGGGGTTTCCGCAGCTGCAGCCTCCCTCTGCCTCAGTTCCCGCTGGTTTTTCCAGCCAGGGGTTATAGCACTGGGACCCTGAGCTGAGTACCTGGTGTGGTACGGGGCCTGTCACTCCTCAGCAAGAGCCTTGCCAGCCAAGGTCACTCCTGATTTTTATCCGCCACACATGGGTGTGGGACCAGCCCATTGCGCCTCCACCCCTCCTACCAGTCTTGATGTGGCTGCTTCTTTAATTTCATAGTTGTAGGACTTCCATTCATCTTGATTTCAGACGGTTCTGATGGTTGTGTTCTTCCCTGTCCTTGTTGCAATTTTGATGTGGTTGTGGGGGAGGTGATACTGCGATAACCTACGCTGTCATCTTTCTGGTGTGTCCAGCCTTTCACTTTTTTTTGATCCTCACCTGAAGACATTTTTCCATTTTTTGTTCAGGTAGAGTGGGAGGGGGGAGAGAGAGAGAGAGAGAGAGAGAGAGAGAGAGAGAGAGAGAGAGAGAGGTGAAAAGGACACATCGAGTGGCTGCCACCCACACAATCAACCAGGGCCTGGGACAAACTGCAACCGAGGTATGTGCCCTTAGCGGACACCGAACCCAGGTCTCTCTGTACCGCAGGCCGACGCTCTAACCGCTGAGCCAAACTGGCCAGGGCCAGCCCTTCACTTTTAAAAAATATGTTTTTATTGATTTGAGAGGGAGAGAGAAATATGGATGTGAGAATAACATCCATCAGCTGCCTTCTGCATACCCCCTACTGGGAATTGAGCCTATAATCTGGGTCTGTGCCTGACTAGGAATCGAACTATTGACTTCTCAGTGCATGGGATGACACTCAATCCACTGAGCCACACTGGCTGGGCAGCTCTTCACTTTTTACTCCATTATTTGATTACAAGCTTATATTTTTAGTCTGTTTTGGATTGTATGTTTTGTTCTACTTTTTCTTCATATTTATTTCCTCTTTACTCTGCCTCCTCATTTTTAAGACATCTTCACCAGGTATTTCTTTTCTCACTTGCCTGCTTTTATTGCCAAGTCCCCCCTCTGTTGGCTCTTAAGCAACCTTAGATTAGACTCCACCAGGAAATTGAGCAATAATTGCCTGTTTTCTAAGATGACCAAACTTATAAGGGTGGTTTTTCTGCATAAAATAAACCTTAATGAGTGAGACAATTAAAATTAAAGGCTAGTTCATTTTATATTAGGTAGTATAAAATATATCACAATTTCCAGGTGTATTTTATTTGAAAAGTTTGTATAATTTATAAGTATTATTTTCCTTTTTTTTTCTTTGTTTAAAAACACTTAATTCAAAAGGTTAGTTCAAGGATTTCACAATTATAGTACTTTCAGTATGCTATATCAGAGTATTTACATAATATTTAAAATTATAATACCTTTCAGACTATTGGAATAAAGCTCTTCTTTTATAGTTTTTTCTAGTTCAGGTTTTTCACATTGTAAAATGTAACTGTGATCTACATGATAACTACTGTTTTACATAACTTGTTTAATGATATTTTTATATGTATGTACTGGGTCATGACTTAATATAATTTTTTGTTACTATGCATTGTGGTCAGGGTGGTTTGAAAGCCAAAGTTGTAGTTGGTGTAGGCTCACTTTCTCTTAGTACTTAAATAGACCTAGGGGTAGCAGTAGGAGGCTCAGGTAGAACACATGAAGCACAAGGAAGTTATTGGATCTGGGAAGTCCATTTAGGCCCTTGATCAGACAGACAAATCTTAGGCACCGCTCCTAAGTATAGACAGTTAAGTTTTAGGATTTGGAGGCAAAGAATACCAGCAAGAGTGGTCATGGTGAAAAGGGAAGCAACAGGTGGCTTCTGGTCCTGCAGCAGAGGATGCTTGCCTTTTTTTTTTTTTTCTCTTGCTAGATTTGATTGATGTCAGAGCTGAGGTAGTAGAATTAGTGAGAAGCTCAGACCAACAACCATTTACTTTCCTCTTTAAATTAATCCTTCAGTTAAAGAATTTTTTTCTATTTGATTTTCTTTCACTTTGGTGGCTTTTAAATTTAAATCCTCTTATTACTTACATCACATTCTTCTTGGTATAGAAAATCCAGAACTGGACAAAATACTTTTTCTAGTAAGAGCTTCAACCCTGCTGAGCGAGGATTAGCACATACTTTCTATATCTTATATAAAATTATATTGGTTTCCATGCTAATATTTAGTTGGTAGTTTAATTTAGCTTTCATTTTGAAGTACTGTTTATGTGATACAGTAGGAAAGGCACAGCGGTACAAATAATTCAAAGAAATAAAATTTATTTTGATTGGCTATGAGAAGGCTATGTTTGTTGTTTTTTGTTTTACAAGTTTAGCTTTTTATTTTATTCTTTGCTAGCATTATTCTTAGAATAACATTATTACTAGAATTAGAATAATGTTATAATAACAGAATAATAACATTATTATTATTCTTAGAATAATGTTAACAAGTAGCTTACATCATTCTTTGACCACTTATTACTTTGGCAATATGAAAGAGTAGAATGAAAATTTATTTTTAGTATAAAAATCTATAAGTTTAAAAGTCCCAACTTTGGTTTTAAGTCTAAAATGAGCATTCATAGTCATAGTTTTAGGACAGTTTAGAAAATCTGAAAATTACTTCATTACATATAATTATCAACTACTTTAAAATCGGCATATAGCCTGGCTGGTGTGGCTCAGTGGATTGAGCAACATCCCAAGGACTGAGAGGTCCCAATTCAATTCCCAGTCAGGGCACATGCCTGGGGTTGCAGGCTTGGTCCCAAGTTGGCATGCGGGAGACACACGATTAATGTTTCTCACATCGATGTTTCTCTCTCTCTCTAAAAAAATCAATAAAAATAAAAAACCAACACATTAAAATAAGCATATAAATAATTTAGACTTGATAATTATATAATTATTTTTTTCCCTCATTTCATAGAATAGTAAATGCCCTGAGGGAACAAAACCCATGCTAATATTTGCTGGTAATGATTTTGATGTAACAGAAGATTACAGAAGACTAAAAAGTCTTCTTATCGGTAAGTATTTTAATACTTATTATCTGCCGGGTAGCTCGGGTAGGCAATCCAAGACTCATTGTGGCACTTTGCCACTTCACTCTAGGAGCAGATCTTTTTTATTTTTTTTTTCCTTTTCATTATTATTTTTTTAATTGAAGATAATTTAAATAATGCATTTTTTTGGGGGGGGAAGCTAATATTATTTTCCTTTACTGATTTTTTTTTTTTTTTTTTTAAGGAAGAGAGAAAGGGAGAGAAAGATAGAAACATCCATGTAAAAGAGAGAAACATTGATTGGCTGCTTCCTGCACGCCCCCTACTGGGGATCGAGCCCTCAACCTGGGCATGTGCCCTGACAGGGAATCAAACCTGCGACCTCTTGGTGCATGGGTCAACACTCAACCACTGAGCCACACTGGCCAGGCAGGGTCAGTGTTCTTAAAACTTTCTACATTTGTTTTTCTTTTTTTCTTTTCATTCTTGTTAAAAGCTTATGGGTAAAGCAGCCCTGCCCTATGTGGCTCAGTTAATTGGGTGTCGTCCCCTGCACCAAAAGGTCACTGTTCCAATTCCCTGTCAGGGCACATGCTGGGTTGCAGGCTCCATCCCCAGTGGGGTGCATGCAGGAGATAGCCAATTGATGTTTTTTTTTCTCTTTCCCTCTCTCTCTAAAATCAGTTTTTTAAAAGCTTATGGAAAAAATCACATATACCTGTAAGTTTTGCATTACAAAGCTATTTTAGAGATGACTAAAATGTGCATAATCTTGTTTCCCAGAACAAATCTGACTTCACTAATACCTCCACAACAAGGAGTGAGGCTGTTAACTTGGCCACTGCAGAAGAGTCAGGTTTTGGCAAAATTATGGGAAAGCTATTCATTAATTATGATCAGAATTTAAATCAAATACCTCAACAAAGGGCACACTTAGTTTGCAAAAGTATTCCTGAGTGATTTTTGTTTTGTAGAGTAAGGAAGGGTGGTGTATCCATGTGCATACATATTAGTGCTATGATTTTGTTTTAGTTAACCACAAGAAAGGAAAAGCAAACAAAAAAGATAATATGTCCATGCACATGGAGATAATTCCCATCTTAAGAGCTAATGGGAAGAGGGAAGAAAAATGCTGGGGGGCTATAGGTTGGGACAGAATGAGATTTCCTGTTTACTCCTTCACCTGCCTTGGGGCAGCTCTTCCTAAGTAATTAAGTAGAATAAACATATATAAATTTTTCTTGCTAAATGTTATTAGTATATTTCCATTTATCCTTCTTAACGTTTGATCCTCTTAGCAGTAAAATGAAGGGGCCAAACTTGATTGCTGTTTTCCAGACTTCTTTCATGTGCTGCTTTCATAATTTTAGCCAAGTTTATAGTTAGTATCCACAGTGTTGTCCACTGGGGATTTTTCTCTAAACCAACTCCCCTTTCTAAAAGGAAACTTTATGTTCTTACCATGAGTAAAAAATGGTATGTGATAAAATAGATAATACGTAATAAATTATATCTACCTGAATATCATTTAAAATCATCTCATGCCATCAGTGGTATGATTATCATGTAGAAAAAGAACAGCCTAATCACTGATGTTGGTTCTTCTCTGCCTTTAACAAATTAGTTATCTTTTGCTCATATAATTGAGATTTCTTGTCAGAATTTTCTTGCTTGTTGGCCTCCACCATAAAACAAAGCCTCGTTTGATTTAATAGTCAGTGTTTTAACAGCTACTTTTATAGAAATTTGTCATCTTAACCAACCTGTCTTGTAGATTAAAATTGTATACCTTGATGGTTAATATCCATAGTAAATACGACACATTTTTATGCTGAGCATTGGCTTAGAGGGAGAACTTTAAAACTGAAAAATTAAAATGGCTTAGTAAACTAAACAAATAGTTATGAGATTAGCAGAAGTGTGGAATGGAACAGTCAGACACTCTTCAGGGATTAGTTTTATGCTATCTTATTGTTTGAGATAAGTATTGGTACAAAACTGAGCATTTATTTATTTTAATTATATATATTTTTTTCATCTTCACCCGAGGACATTTTGCATTCATCTTCAGATAGAGCAGGAGGGAAAGAGGGATGAAGAGAGAGAAAAAACATCGACATGAGAGAGAGACATTGACTGGTTGCCACCCACATGACCCCAACCGGGGCCAGGGACAAACTGTAACCGAGGTACGTGCCCTACGTGGGAACCAAACCCAGATCTCTGGTGCGTGGGCTGACGGCTGAGCCAAACCTGCCAGGGCCAAAACTGAGCATTTAGAATGCAGCTCCTAGTTTAAAAGCATGTTAGTTTTTTCCCTAACAATTTAATATGTGCTCTTAGATTTCTTCAGAGGCCCCACAGTATCAAACATTCGCCTGGCTGGTTTAGAGTGTGTCCTGCACTTCACTGCACTGAATGGGAAGATTTACTTTCGAAGCTATAAGTAAGTGCATTTCTTAGCATATTTTTATTAGCCTCATGGTTGGTATTTTTGTGTGACTGTTTTATAGAGCTCAAACTTAGAATTGATGTTCAGCCAAAAGTTTGTTTGGAGAGTTTGCAGAATGGCAGTGGCACAGCCGCTCTGTGCTGACCCTCAAGTCTGTCATTCTCCTGCTAACTTCTTTCTGAAACCCTACTCTCCAGGACCCTGGAATATCTAACGCTGCACTCCCTCTGAGCTAAGAACACTAATGCAGTCTTGTTCCTCTCTACTTTTATGTAGTATCTCCTTATTTTTCTTGATTAGATTTAGAGTACTAAGCCTTAAGACCTATGCCAGCCAAAGCAGATCTCAAAACCCTGAATCTAAAAAATGGTGTCTGAAAGGAATAAGATGATTCAGTGCCTAGATTCATTTTTACCCTCTTCAGATTAGGCCTTCTGCCCCTACCCCCACCACGAGCTGATTTTGTTTTTATTTAAAAGCTTAATGACATGATACAGTTGTGCCTTTTGAGTTGATAGAGTACATTGACTCCAACTAAATGTCTGCCTTTGAACATTGAATTCAGACTGATTACTTGGAGCTGTGGCACAGCAGGGAAGCCTGAAAGCCAGCAGCTCAGCGTTGGTACGTGGTAACCAGCATATGTCCAGTGAACATCTAAATGAAACTAAATATTCATCTCTTTTGTCAGTAATTTCCATCTTTGTTTCAACTGTTTTGAGTCAGAGATACACGGTTCTTTTTACCATATGATTAATGTTTTTGCTGTTTTCCTTTTCTTTAAGTTATAATAGAAGGAAATGCAATAAAATAGCCACATGACTACAAGATATAATTAGGGATTTTATAATCATTTTTGGCTTGTTAAACTTGAAAGAGTCCTTTAAATCTGTTGCTTCAATTTCCCAACTTGATTTTGGGGCTTTTAAGAGTATATTTTATTATAAAGTTGGTGTCACCTATTTAGAGAACAAGAAATAAAAGATGAATAATCACTGACATAAAAACTTTTTTGAAAACTTATATTAAACAAGGAGATCGTGAGGATATAAGTGAAATGAGTGATAATAATAACCTAAAAACGCTGTCAGAGTGAACAATTTCAAAGAAAGTATTAGAAGTTGTATTTTGTGAAAAGAAAGATTAATATGTAATGAAAGAAAGAAGCATAGAGAAAATGTTAAAAATAGAAAATTAGCAAATCAGACTTCTGAACAAAGATGCATAAGCAATGTAACTATGCACATCCACTTATCCATTTCTTGAAGAAGAATATAATTCGTGGAATCACTATTAGGTTAGCATGGCAGCTCCTAAAAGGGGGAAAAAGTGACTTTTTAAAATCAGAGGCCCTAGTGTAAAAATTTAATTCCAGGTGTTTCATATATGCCCTGTAGGGCTTATTAACTATTGATTTGAAATAGAAAATGGACAGTGTGATTGAGAGCTAACTACTACTGGGAAAATTACTGAACGTGCCCGACCTGTGTGGCTCAGTTGTTGAGTGTCGACCCAGGCACCAAGAGGTCGCCAGTTCGATTCCTGGTCAGGGTACATGCCCAGGTTGTGGGCCCAATCCCCAGTAGGGGGCACGCAGGAGGCAGCCAATTGATGTTCTCTTTCATCAATGTTTTTCTCTCTCCCTCTTCCTTCCTCTCTCTCTAAAAATTAATAAAGAAAAAGAAAATTACTGAACGTATGAATTAGCTTAGCCTCTAGGGGCTGTGCCACTCTTGGGAGGGGAAGAAAGGTATTCCTGGGAATGAGCATCACCTCTGAGTTTAGTTACCTGTCTGGGCTGGAGCTCAGCCACATGATATGTGCAAGTCACTTCTCAGGGCCTCTGTTTTTCTTTCTTTTATTTTTTATGAATTTTTATTTATTTTTTTGTTACAGATATTTTACCTTTTTACCCCATTGGCACCCCCCCACCCCACCCCACCTCCACCCCGTCCCCGGCTTAGTTGTCCATGTCCATTGGTCATGCATACATGCATATAAGTTCTGTGGTTTATCTCTTCCCACCCCTCCCACCCCCCATCCCCTCTTCTGAGGGATGTCAGTCTGTGTCCTACTTCCATGTTTCTGGGTCTACTGTATTCCTCAGACTGTTATGTTCATTATATTCCATATATAAGTGAGATCATGTGGTATTTGTCTTTTTCTGCTTGGCTTCTTTCACTTAGGATAATACTTTCCAGGTCCCTCCATGTCGTCTCAAAGGATAAGAGATCTTTCTTTCTTACCGCTGCATAGTACTCCATTGTGTATATGTACCACAGCTTTTTTATCCATTCGTCTACTGGTGGACACTTGGGCTGTTTCCAGATCTTAGCTATTGTAAACAGTAGGGCCTCTGTTTTTCATTTGCAAAGTGTAGCAATACCATTTATTAATTCTGAGGTCCCTCTGAGATTGATCCTTTATAAGAGGGGAAAGAGGGTGCAAATAGAGGTGGGAATATGAAAAATTTAGAATTGGGTTTTCTGCTTTGTTCAGACTTAGTGCAGCTCCTCAGATATTTTGTGCTAGCTGCACTGTGTCCTGCCCGCTTTTTTTTTTTAATCATATGAGTGTTTATTCCAATATTGCTGACAGTAGGAGAGAGCAGCAGGTCATCCCTGAAAGATATGTTCTGCCCCTTTCCCCCCACCCCCAGCTGCTTATATTGGGTAGAAGGACAAAGATTACATGGGGAAGTAGACAAAAGGATTAACGATTTGTAAAACGGTTACAGATTACAGGCATGGGGAAGTAATGCGAGCTGGGGAGTGAGGGCTGGGGACTAGGAAAGGGTGTCTCCAGTACACCATCTCCAGGACTCCAAGGTTATTAGTCTTTCCATGATATTGAGCAGTTTTCCCTTGTTCTCAGATAAGAATGGACAGCATTCCTGAGGTAAACTCCCAGGGCATACAGCTCCATCAGAATGGGGTTTCATAAATTTTATTTTCTATTTGAAGGCTCATGAGAGAATCTCAGTGTTCATCCTATCTGTAAATGTCATCATTCAGTTGCTCAAGCTCAAAACAGGCCTCTTCCGCCCTGGCCAGTTTGGCTCAGCGGTTAGAGTGTCGGCCTGCGGTCCGGAGAGACCCGGGTTTGGTTCCCGCTAAGGGCACGTACTTCGGTTGCAGTTTGTCCCTGGCCCTGGTTGGTCGTGCGGGTGGCAGCCACTCGATGTGTCCCTTCACGTCGATGTTTCTCTCTCTCCCTTCCTCTCCCTCCCACTCTATCTGTACAAAAAATGGAAAAATGTCCTCGGGTGAGGATAAAAAAAAAAACAGGCCTCTTCCTTGATTCTCTCTTTTCCTTCTATGCCACATCCAATGCCTTATCAAGTTATTTCAAGTCTCTCTTCCAAAATATTCTGAAATTTATGACTTTTTACCTCTATAGCTTCATTTCTAGGCTAAGTTCTAGACTGCATCTCCCTCTGCCCTCTTTCTTTCTTGCTTTTTTATTTATTGATTGATTTTAGAGAGAGAGAGAGAAACAAACATCGATTTGTTGTTCCACTTATTAATGCATTCATTGGCTACTTCTTGTTTGTGTCCTGGCTGGAGATCAAACTTGCAACCTTGTTGTATCAGGATGATGCTCCAACTAACTGAGCTACCCGGCCAGGGCCCTGACCTCTTTCTTTTACTGTGCATCAGCTCTTAAACAATTGATAAAAGGTAATAAATAATATTCACACACATTATTTGTGAAGGTTTAGTAAGGCTTATAAAATGGTTTTGAACTTGGATGAAAGGAATTCTGAACATGAAATTATATTAATAAAATTCTTGACCTGACTGGGGGAATAAATCAGTGTTACTGATGTCTTCTTTATACATGAGTGACAGTTTGTATTCCTTGGAGAACTTTATTCACTGTAGGTCCAGAGCCATTAATATGAAACAAAATCTTTAATAACTTCCACGTGTGCCTTCAGCTTGTCAGTCTCTTCTTTGTCAGCAGATGCAACCTCTCCAGTAATTTTTTATATTTTCAGTCCATACCTATTCCTGAATCTGTAACCCTCTCTTACTTGCAGTAAATGTCTTGGTGTCACTTGTTGAAGTCTTCATATAGGCTCAATGCTTTTTGGTGCAACACATTGCTGTCAGTCAGAACATGTGTTCTGTTCATGTCTTCCACCCATGAATATAATATCTCTTTAAGCACTCATCACACACTGTGGCCTTAACTTGAGCAGTTTGAGGTGAGACAGCAAAACTAGCACAGATTTTTTTTTCCCTTCCTCATAATTTCACAGATAGAAGATTAATTCTTATCATAGATCTTAGCATCCTCAGCGCACAATTTTTTTTCCTTCTATTAAATCAAGAACTTTCACCTTTCCATTTAAAGGAAACACTTATGGCTTCTCTTTGGCATATCTGAGTTGTCGGCATCACTGCTCTTGCACTTTGGGGGCCATTATTAAGTAAAATAAAGGTGACTTGCCCTGGCTGGTTTGGCTCAGTGGTTGGAGTATTGGCCCTTGCACCAAAGAGTCGTGGATCTGATTCCGGTTAAGGGCACATACCTTGGTTGCAGTTCAGTCCCCGGCCCTGGTTGGGATCATGCAGGAGGCAACCAATTGATGTGTCTCTCTCACATCGATGTTTCTCTCCCTCTCCCTCTTTCCTCCCCTCCCCTCCCTCCCTCACACTCTATCTGAAGATAAATGAAAAAATAACCTTGGGTGAGGATTTAAAAATAAATAAATAAAATTAGGGTGACCTGAACACAAGCACTGAAATACCTTGACAGTTGATCTGATAGCCGAGATGGCTACTACATGATGGTCAGGGATCTTGTACAGCATGGAGATGCTGGGCAAAGGGATGATTCACATCCTGGGCCTGACACAGCAGGACCGTGTGAGCTTTCGTGAGGCTACTCAGAACAACGCACAGTTTAAAACTTATGAATAGTTTATTTCTGGAATTTTCCATTTAATATTTTTGGACCACTGTTGACCGTGGGTAACTGAAACCGTGGAAAATGAAACCATGGATTGGGGTGGGGGGGACTACAGTGTCTTTAAAAAAAAGTTGCAGCATGTATAATGGGTTGAAGGTAAAGGAAATGGTTTTAATTTTTATTTATTTTATTTTTAAAAAATATGTTTTAATTTTTTTAGAGGGAGAGGAAGGGAGAGGGAGATAGAAACATCCATGGAGAGAGAAACATTGATCAGCTGCCCTCTGCATGCCCCTACGAGGGATTGAGCCCGCAACCCGGGCATGTGCCCTGACTGGGACTCGAACCGGATTTGATTCAGTTTATGAGATGATGCTCAATCCACTGACCCACACTGTCCAGGCTAATTTTGTTTTTTTTAAGGAGTCAACAGTAGCCTTCATTTTTTTTAGTGTGATCACTAAAATCATTTATAAATTCTCTATTAATATATTTCCTCTGAGAAAGAGTGAAGAGGTTTTTTTTTTTTTTAGAGGATTAAGAAGTGATCATTTTAGATTGTAGGTATCATTGAAAACTTAATAAAGAAAAAGGATGATAGGCTTATCACCAGAAACCATGTGTAGGGAACTGAAAACTAGAGAACATTTTCTTCTGTTTCTGAGCAGTAAACATGCTCAGTGAAATGATTAAGGTTAGGTCATTTACATAGACAGGATAGCACTGTAACTTAGTTGTTTAATCAATAGCAACATATGTAGTTATTCGGAAATAATAAACTATGCCATTAAAAAATTACTTCGTTGGGAGGACACTTCTATAAATAAAAAGGTACTTTAAAACAGTTTTGCCCTGGCCGGTTTGGTTCAGCGGTTAGAGCGTTGGCCTGCGGTCCTGAGAGACCAAGGTTCAGTTCCCACTAAGGGCGCGTACCTCGGTTGCAGTTTGTCCCCGGCCCTGGTTGGTTGTGCAGGTGGCAGCCACTCAATGTGTTCCTTTCACATCGATGTTTCTCTCTCTCTCTCTGTTCCTCTCTCTCCCTCCCACTCTACCTGAACAAAAAATGGAGAAATGTCCTCGGGTGAGGATAAAAAAAACAAAAAACAAAAAACAGTTTTGCCACATCTACTGGTACTTGGGTGATCTGAATGCATCAGATATGCCACAAGCTATCCTGGATCGACAAGTCTTCCACTTACTTGAAAATGAGCATTTTAAGCAGTAGAAAACTTAAAAAAAAATATATATATATATATATATATGGAGAGGGAGAAAGACAAACATGGGTGTGAGGGCGAAGCATCAGTTGGCTGCCTCCTGCACACCCCCAGCCGAGGATCAAGCTCACAAAACAGGCATGTGCTCTGACACATGCCCAGCCAGCTTTCAGTGTAAGGGATGATGCCCAACCAACCGAGCCACACCAGCCAGGGCAGCAGTAGAAAACTTTTTAATTGAAATTTTATATGTAATTTCTCTTATTTATTAAGTAGTCAACTGAACACATTTTTTCTAGGTATGATTTCAGCATTATAAATATGGTTTATTTGAAGGTACTGAAAATGTGGATGTAAATGCAGAAGTGTGTGCGATATGAAAGTCATATGATTCACTGCACCTGTGTGCTTGGAGTTAGCTCTTTGGGAAGATGCTCTGAACCAGCCATCTTTTAGCTTCTAAAAATATTTTCCCCTTAGTGAGCCTCAGACAGACGTTCTCTCTCTCCTCCTGGAACCACATGAAGAGAATGGCTGCCTAAGGACACTCTTTTAGGCTCTTTTTCCCCTGTGCTTGCTCCCTTCAAGTGCCGTATTAATATTCATTTACCTATTATCTTTTAATGTTAGTATAGTTTTTGTTTGTTTGTTGTAACACTTCAGCTTTTTGCATATGCTAGGCTGGTGTGTAGTATTTTTCTGCCTTGTTCAATTGGGTATAAATTACTGTGTCTTACACAGCATATTTATCACTGTGCCTCCTCCTGCAGCCAGTAAATGCACCTCCCTTGGGTGGACTGTATTGGTTGGCCGTCTGCATGTGATGCACTTAAGGCCCAAAGGGCTGGTAAAGAGCTTTTGCACACGCACTTCCTCCCATTGTTGGCTTCTCTCTTGGGTATTCCTTACTGTGCTTTCTTCTTCTTTTTTCTTCTCTTCTGTCACCTGTTGCCTCTCTCACACTCCAGCTTTTGTGGGAAAAGGCTGATCTTGTATAAACATTGTTACTCAGTCAATTTTTTTTTTCCATATGAAGATCTGGCCACTGTAACAAATTGAGTCAGCTTAGATAATCTTCGAGTCTTTCAGCTGTTTTTGTGGTATTACTCATAAAAAGAATTTACTGGTCTTCCCACCTCCCCACTACATCCCTCATATGTTTCCAGATACAGAGCTATTTGGACATATGGTATCCAGCAAGTTGTGATTATATTAAGATTTTTAAAATTTTATTCCAGTCTATAGGGATCAGAAAATGTTTGTGCTATATAGAAAAGTTGATTCTAAATAGCTCTTAGAGAAACAAAAATTTGTTAATCACTTAAACATAATGTTTCAAAGACCCAATTAAAATTATTTTTATGCTTATATAAATCTTAATGTAAAATGAAGTCAGATTCCATTTCATAGAAGAAGTGTCTATCTCGCTGTTCTTAACAATATTGTATACTTTGTTGTTTTTAAAAATATGTTTTTTGTTTTTTTTTTATCCTCACCTGAGGACATTTTTCCATTTTTTGTTCAGGTAGAGTGGGAGGGGGAGAGAGGAAGAGAGAGAGAAACATCGATGTGAAAGGGACACATCGAGTGGCTGCCACCCGCACGACCAACCAGGGCCGGGGACAAACTGCAACCGAGGTACGTGCCCTTAGCGGGAACCGAACCCGGGTCTCTCGGGACCGCAGGCCGACGCTCCAACCGCTGAGCCAAACCGGCCAGGGCTGAGCCAAACCGGCCAGGGCTTAAAAATATGTGAATAAAAGAATACACTTGGCCTAAATGTATAAAGTAGTTAAGATGCTTAGCCTTTCTAAATGTTTTATGTAACTGTAATTCTCTTGGACAAAAATATTGTGTGCGGAAAGGATGTTTATCCAAATCAGAGCAACATTTCTCTTTTCCTATCTTGTGAAGGCTGCTGTTGAAGAAATCTGGTTGCAGAACACCACGGATTGAATTGGAAGAGATGGGACCCTCATTGGATCTGGTTCTGAGGAGGACGCATCTAGCTTCAGATGACCTTTATAAGTTATCCATGAAAATGCCCAAAGCCCTCAAGGTACATGATTTGTAGATGGTATATTCCACTCTTTCCAAAAAGGCTTTGTGGTATACATTAAAGGACATACCTAAAGAGATCTATTAATAGGTAAAATTAGACTTCAGAGCCAAGAAGAGGAAGAAGAAGCAAATAAGCCAACCGTAAAGGATAATAAACGTTGCAGAAACCAGGCATGAAGTGTGTGAGAACTTTCTGGTAGCCAAGGCTGCTGCCAGGTTTCAGCAGAAAGGAGAATTGTTTGGGGCATTGTGAAGACTGGGGATTTAGAGCACAGGATGTGTAACTCATACTTGTATAAAAAGTGTTTTGACTTTTGAATGGTTTTAAAAGACAAGTAGAGATGGCATGTCTGGAATGCCAATAAAGATATGATAGTTACAATTCTTTAAGCTAAACACAGGAAATTCTCTCAATGCAGGGTAAAGGTTAGTGTAGTCTATTATGTTGCATATCAAAGTGTGGGGTCCAACAGTTTACCTGGGAATTGTTAGGAATACTGAATCTCAACCTACTGAATTAGAATCTGCATTTTAACAAGATCCACAAATGATTTCTATGTACACTTGAATTTGAGAAGAAAGGTCGATAGCACTATAGACTCTATGACATTAAAGGGGTGCTCACTAATGGAAATTGTTAGTAAGGTAGTTGTTGTACTTTAGATTTTTTAAATCAGTTCATGATATTAGAGACCATTAAATATATATATTCTATTTCACAGCCAAAGAAGAAGAAAAATATCTCCCATGATACTTTTGGTACAACTTATGGAAGGATTCATATGCAGAAGCAAGACCTAAGCAAACTACAAACCAGGAAAATGAAGGGGCTGAAGAAGCGAACTGCAGAAAGGATATTAGAAGACCAGGAGAAAAAATCAAAGAGAATTAAAAATAATTGATGGAACTTAGCCAATAACTAGTTTTATTGTAATCTGTTTACATAAAGAGAATGATCAAGCATCAGTAATTTTAAAGTTTCTTACAAGATTTTATTGTATATTTTTGTAACATAATAATTTACCTAAAGTAACCTCTTACTTGAGACATTACACTCTGGTGTGCATTTTTTTCTCTATGGTATATTTCCATCTGTCCACCTACCCGGCAAAGTCCCCTATCATTGTGTGGATGAATTAGAAAGGAACTCCAGAACAGCCATTGACATCTCAGAGAATTTCTGAATCAAGCTGTAGATAAAAGGAGGAGCCTTGAGCATTGACTCATACACCAAGAGGTTGCTGATTTGACTCCCGGTCAGGGCACATGCCCAGGTCGTGGGCCAAATCCCCAGTGAAGGGCATGCCGGAGGTAGCCAATCGATGTTTCTCTCTCTCCCTCTCTGTCCCTTTTTAAAATCAATAAAGAAAAAAAAAATTAAAAAATAAATAAAAATTTTAAAACCTTAAAAAAAAAAAAGGAAGCCATGAAAAGTAGAAATGACCCAAACGAACTGTATACACACTCAATATGGCCTACCTGGAAAATTAAACCCATATCCAACATATACCTACAATCCGGCATTTCTTTATTTATTTTTATATTTTTTAATCCTCATTGGAGGACACTTTTCCATCCTTTGATCAGATAAAGTAGGAGGGAGAGGAAGGGAGAGAGAAACATCGATGCGAAAGGGATGCATCGAGTGGCTGCCACCCGCACGACCCAACCAGGGCCGGGGACAAACCGCAACCAAGGTACGTGCCCTTAGCAGGAACCAAACCCGGGTCTCTGGACTGCAGGCCACCATTCTAACCACTGAGCCAAACCAGCCAGGGCCCAGCTTTTATTTTTTACTTTTCAGCTATTTTGCCTGAAATTCTACCAGCTAGAGATTAACTTGAGATTTTAAGTTTTATTTCATAAAACCGGTGTCTAAGAGAGATATCTGCTACCTGATCATTGACTTACTGCTTTACTATTGCTCATTTTAAGAGATTCTACTACTAAGTGGTGCCCTATCCCCTTTCTCTGAGAGAAAGGAAGTTTTGATGGGGGTAGAGTGGGAAAGGAGAAAATGGGTAGGACTTAAGACACAGGGCACTTTAGGGTACTAGGCAGCTAAAGATCACACAAAGGCCCTGAGGTGTTTGTACACTGAGTAGGAGTAAGCCAAACAGCTTGTTTGGAAATTTTCTTTCATTTTTAAAATATTTTATTGAATTTTTTGGGTTGGCATTGGTTAGTAAAATTATATAGCTTCCAGGTGTACAATTCTATAATATATCATCTATGTATTGAATTGTGTGTTGACCACTCCAAATCAAGTACCCTTACATCACCATTTATCCCCCCTTTACCTCTTCTACCTCCCACCCCATTCCCTCTGGTAATTGGTGTCTATGCGGTTTTTCGTTTGTTTTTGCTTAATCCCTTCACCTTTCTCACCTAGGTGGGCCAACAGCTGTCGTTCTGTTCTCTGTATCTATGAGTCTTTCTATTTTCTTTGTTAATTTTGTTCATTAGAGTCCACATATAAATGAGATCATATGGTACTTGTCTTTCTCTGACTGGCTTATTTCACTTAGCATAATACTCTCCAGGTCCATCCATGCTGTAGCAAAAGGTAAACTTTCTTTTTTCCTTTTTTTTTTTTAACAGCTGAGTAGTACTCCATTGTGTAAATGTACCACTTTTTTTATCCACTCATCTACTGATGGGCACTTGGGATGCTTCCAAATCTTGGCTGTTGTAAACAATGCTGCAGTGACCATAGGGGTGCATATATTTTTTTGAATTAGTGCTTTGGATTTTTCAGATATATACCCAGAAGTGGAACTGCTGGGTCATGAGACAGTTTTATTTTTAATTTTTTAAGTCTTTTTTAAATTGATCTTTTTTAGAGAGAGGGAGAAAGAGAGAGAGTGAAACATTGATGTAATAGAGAAACATCAGTCAGTTACCTCTTGCACACACCTTGACTGGGGATGGAATATGCAACCTGGGTATGTGCCTTGACTGGGAATCAAATCCACCACTTTTTGGTATACAGTGTGATGCTCCAACCAGCTGAGCCACACAGGCCAAGGGCTATTTTAATTTTTTGAGGTAACTCCATACTGCTTTCCACAGTGACTGCACCAATCTGTATTCCCACCAACAGTGAACAGAGTTTTCCTTATTCTCTGTATCTTTGCTAATACTTTGTTGATTTATTGATAGCCATTCTGACAGGTGTGATATGGTATCGCATTGTGGCTTTAATTTGCATTTTTCTGATTAGTGATGTTGAGCATTTTTTTATATGTCTATTGGCCAACTGTCCTCTTTGAATAAGTGTCTATTCAGATCCTTTGCCTATTTTTAATTGAATTGTATAAGTTTTTTGTACATTTTGGATATTAACTTATCAGAAGTATCATTGACAAATATGTTCTCCCAAAATAGGTTGCCTTTTCATTTTGTTGATGGTTTCCTTTGCTGTGCAAAAACATTTTAGTTTTATATAGTCCCATATGTTTGTTTGTTTGTTTATTTTTGGTACGTGCCCCTAGCGGGAACCGAACCTGGAACTGCAGGCCAGTGCTCCATCTGCTGAGCCAAACTGGCCAGGGCTCCATATGTTTATTTTTTTCTTTTGTTTCCCTTGCTCAAGGAGATGTATTAGAAAAAATATTGCTATGAGAAATGTTGGAGATTTTAGTACCTATGTTTTCTAGGATTTTTATGGTTTTGAGTCTAACATTCAAGTCTTTAATCCACTTTGAGTTTATGCTCGTGTGTGGTGTAAGGAGGTGTTCTAGTTTCACTGTTTTGCATGTATCTATCCAGTTTTCCCAATACATTTATCTAATAGACTGTCTTTACCCCATTGTATGTTCTTGTCCCCTTTGTAAAATATTAATTGACCATAAAGGTGTGGGTTTATTTCTGCACTTTCTATTCTGTTCCAATGATCTATATGTCTGTTTATAGATTGCTTTGGGTAGTATGGACATTTTAATGATGCTAATTTTTCCTATCTATGAGCACAGTATATGCTTCCACTTATTTGTATCTTCTTCAGTTTCTTTCTTCATTGTCTTATAATTTTCTGAGTATATAAGTCTTTTACTTTTTTTTTAAATCTTCACCCAAGATTATTTTTTCCATTGATTTTTTAGAGAGTGGAAGGGGGAGGGAGAGGAAGAGAGAGAGGAACATCAGTGTGAAAGAGGCACATTGATTGGTTGCCTCCTGAATGCTAATCGATAAGGAAGGAAGGGTTTGTATTAAGTTAGCAGTTCAGCTGTGACCAGATGCCTAGAGTTATCTTGAAAAGTCACAGTTTGTTTGCTTTCCAGTAGGTGTTCAGGCAGATGTGCTGTATGATTATTTTCCCGTTCTTGTAAAATAAGCTTATCCCTGGCCAGTGTGGCTCAGGGGTTAGAATGTTGGCTTGCAGACTAGTGTCTTGGGTTTGATTCCTGGTTAAGGGCATGTAGCAGGGCTCAGTCCTCTGCCCCAGTCAGAGCTCATGAGGAAGGTAACCAATTGACCTCTCTCTCTCACATTGATGTTTCTCTTCCTCCCTTCCACTTGCTCTAAAAAATGGGGGGGGGGGGGGGGTCAATGGAAAAGATATCCTTGGATGAGGATTAACAAAACAAAAAACAAAGCTTAGAACAAAAGTTATGACAAGTTCAAAGGGGAGGCCTGTTTGAAGGGAAGGCGGAAGAATTCTAATTCAGTTTCATGCTAACCATTCTAGCAGCACAATTTATGATTACTAAGATCTGGAAACAGCCCAAGTGTCCATCAGTAAATGAGTGGATAAAACAGCTGTGGTACATTTACACAGTGGAACACTATGCAGCTATAAGAAAGATCTCTTATCCTTTGAGCTAACATGGAGGGACCTAGAGAGTATTATGCTAAGTGAAAGAAGCCAATCAGAGAAAGACAAATACCACATGATCTCACTTATTTGTGGACTTTAATGAACAAAATAGACCCAGAGACAGAATGGAGTACGGTTCAGACACAAACCTCAGAAGAGGGGGGCGGAAGGGGAGGGGTGAGATACACCAGAGAACTTACATGCATGTAAGCGTAGCTGGTGGATGTAGACAACAATGGGGGGGGGGGGGTCGGGAAGAGGGGTTTAGGGGGTAAAAAGGAGAAACATTTGTAACAAAAATTAATTTTTAAAAAAGGAGCCCTGGCCAGTTGGGCTCAGCGGTTAGAGCGTCGGCCTGCGGTCCGGAGAGACCCAGGTTCGGTTCCCGCTAAGGGCACGTACTTCGGTTGCAGTTTGTCCCTGGCCCTGGTTGGTCGTGTGGGTGGCAGCCACTCGATGTGTCCCTTCATGGCGATGTTTCTCTCTCTCTCTCCCTTCCTCTCTCTCCCTCCCACTCTATCTGTACACAAAATGGAAAAATATCCTCGGGTGAGGATAAAAAAAAAGGAAAAACAGCAGGGAGGAGGGGAGAAGAAGAGCTCAGCCTTATCTCGTCCCTCTGAACAGAGCTGTTTGAACAGAGGAGTCAACAATCTTGGGATTTAATTTCCAGGTGCTTCTCACGAATTGTGGAAAGGCCACAACAAAGAAAAGGGGAGGCCTGTTTTCTGTCCTTGAAATTAATATTGCAAACAAAATTCATTATAAGGATTCCTAAAATAGTTGGCATCTTTAGATATTAGATGATTCCATTTCCAAAAATGTTTACCTACAACCTTTCAGAAATGCAGTGGTCTTTTAAATAAGGCACTCCTATGTTTACAAAATGAGGAAAATGGAAAAGCTAGTGTCTGGGTTTCTTTTAGAGGTAAAGCCCTGAGCTAATTATTGAGGTGATTAGCCAACTCTGCTCATATTAGATTCATTTAGCAGAAACATGCAAACATAATAGTTTTGCTCCCCTCAAACATGTTCAGAAGCTCCGAAACCTTTGGGACAGAAAGTACAAGTACATTTTAGAGTAGATTTTATTAATGAAACTTCAGTAACTCATTATATCTTTATTTTTGATTAATTGGTCTCTGTTTTTGCATAAACTTAAGATTTTTAAAAATAATATTGCATTGTTCCAGCAATCTGGCA